GAACAATACGGCGCGTATCGCACGCCGGACACCACCGAGAGCGTCGCTTTGTGTGGGGATGGGAGAAAATGGCCTGCAGATATGTGCAGATTATGTTCCAAAAGGCCCATTCAATGTCATTTTCTATTTGTTGACGTTCACTGTCATTTCTCATAGTTTGGCTAAAATACCAAACGGGCCACGTAGCTGTAACGCCAGCGCATAAAGATAGTTAATGACATTTCAAAAGGCGGCCAAATGCTTTCTTACGGCTTCTCATATTATTTCAAATGTGTGAAGCTGCATTGTTTTTGCGTGAGAAGTTATTTCCTTTCACCTAAAAAATGGAGTCTCTATAAAGACTGCAGCAAGGTTGATTAAACATTGATACGTTTCCTCACATATTTATTAAGCTCGTACGTCTGCCCTCGGCTCTCTGACTTAAAAGCAAAACCCTGGATTAGTGCGATATAAGCAGTTTCTGGGAATATGAGATTTTCAGGGGCTTTCGGTCGTCTATGACTGTGTTCTTTTGACGCAGCGGAATAGTAGAGAGGTGCAGATGTCGGGTCGAAGCTCACCAGACAGACCACAAGCCCCACCTGGCTACGTGAGCTCATAAGAGAGGGGAGGAAAATCCCATGTTAACATTTGTGTGCGTTCACGACAATAAAACAGCAGTAGGTTGTGTGACAATTCAAATACTATTCAATGTATCAACATGGCTCTTTTTGTTCAAAAGCATAACTTGGCTTTCAAATTGATTTTTATTACAACTGCAAATTGTGATTTGACCAAATAAAGGTTATCCTGTTTTATTAAATTATTATTATTATATTATAATTCATTTCTTTCAGCAGGTTTCTAAACCCCCAGCTTCTCTACTGTGCAAATTTGCTACATTTCTTTGATGTACATGATATTAAAATGAAAATCTTAGGGTTTTAGCATGTTGGGCGCTACAAACAAGAAATAGAATGAATTTTACTTGTTACATGCAAATATACTAGTATGAAAATATGACCGGAAACAATAAGAAACGAATGAATTAAGTAGAAATGAATTATGTTTTTTTAAATAGTTTGTCTTAAAGTTACGATACTGCATTTACTAGTTGCTTTGCAGAATATGGCTTGTCAGTTCTATTTCCCACCTCATAAACTAAAGTTATTCTAAAACAGGCGAGCAGAACTGCTTTGTGGAAATATTGCATTAACTGAAAGAGATTTTCTTACAGTATGACACTGAAAGACACATGTTTCAGAAACGGTGATTCATCCCTTTAAAATGGCAGTGTGAGCGCGTGAATAAACCCCAACACACCGCTTGTAGTCTCCACAGTAAGACAGCAGTGAAGCGCTGCAGTAAAGGTCACGTTGTAGATCCTGGAAAACGTCAATTCCAATATGTGAAGTGACCGGACACCAAATGTCTGGTTGTTGGGTAATTATCCATAACGGGTTGCTGATGCACATCGTAGTACAGGTTATTGCTGTCTGAGGGTGTGTTGTCATGGAGAGATTGAGAATGTGTGTGTGTGTGTGTGTGTGTGTGTGTGTGTGTGTGTGTGTGTGTGTGTGTGTGTGTGTGTGTGTGTGTGTGTGTGTGTGAGCTTTTCCTGCTTCTACAGCATTTTGGGCGCCTGCGTCATCTTAGTGGAGCGATGACATGAGAGACATTCATGTTTTTGAGACAGGCTGACATTTTCCGGAGCAACCTTAAGCCTCGTCTGTTGCACTGTACATTCCGTCCTGCCCTTTGTGTGGCAGCATAACCTCTCTCTATAATACGACTCGTTTCAACGTGTCACCAAGACAAAGTCCTGGACAAAGAACAAGATTGTGATCTTCAAGCGTGACTAAAAGTCGCTTTGTGTGAAACCATTGACGGAGGTGAGACAGAGCCGAGTGCATCCATCAGCTTTTGTTATCAGGACGGAGAAACAGGCTGCAGCCGGTCAATTCGCGTTTTTTTTTTTATCCGTATAGCGTTCATACAGTGAGACGACACGAATGCGACTCCCGTCGGAGAGCAACGTTTACAAGATGGAGGCCGTCCCTCGATTGTGTGAGGTAGATTCAAACCACCATTGTTCGACCAAGAGTAGACGTTACTACCTCATTATTTGGTCACGTGTAGCTCTGTAGGAGCCAATTAAGGCTTTAAACAATGCAATTAAACTATATTTTAAAGGAGTTTCTCGGGTGTGGAGAGATTGATGTGCAGAAATCTGTTTTGCACAAAGGATTTACAGGTTATTCTATTCAATTTGTTTCTCAAATGAAATTCAAATGATCAATGTTTTTGTAACTGGCATACCTGAGTAAAAAGAGTATCTATATCATGCATCAAACAACTAATATTTTACATTATTAATGATAGGACAATGATTAGAGATATTTACACAGAATTACAACAATTAGTCAAGTGATGGAAAATCAATTAGCAGATTTTTTGATGAGCACATTTCACATTTCAATAATCTTTTAAGCAAGACGGCCAAAAGGTTTATTGTCTGCTGGGTCTCAAAGGAGAGGTTGCCTTCCTATGTCGTGTATGTCATTTTATTTTTCTGTCGCATGTAATGAAGATTTTTGATTGAACAAAACTAGGGACTCGACGTCACTGTAATTAGGCTCCAATTAAGAATTATTTTGGCCTTTTTTGCCTTGAAAAAACATTCATTGTCACTTAACCTACCAATTATCTGTTTGTATTGATTGAAAATGGAATATCAATTACAATTTAGTAGCAAGTGAAACCCCAGCCGATGCACAATGACAATATTTCACAGGCAGGAGACGACTCTGTGTGTCTGACCGTGTGCAAAGAGACAAGATAAGAATCCGAGGGAGGGGGTCCGAAAATAAAACGGACAACGGTGTTTTTCAAATCAAATCTATCCAAAGTGAGTGTGTGTCTGTGTGTGTGTGTGTGTGTGTGTGTGTGTGTGTGTGTGTGTTTGTGTGTCTGAGTGGTTTAAGCAAATCAATTTTCTTTTTTCCTGCATGTTAATGTAAACGATCCCCATTAAAAAACTATTTTTTCCCTTTCCATTCTAACATGCAGGCACGCGCACACGCAGACACACACACAGACACACACACTCACACACACTAGGTGAATCACATTATTACAATACTCATATGTCTACATATGAAAATCAATCATCCTTTTCAAAAGCAGTACCCCTCAAGGTTACAAATGTATCCGAAATCTCTCCATGAGCACGAGATCTGTTGGCCACCGAGGCGTCTCTTTCTCCTCCATCCATCAACCCTCCACCTCCTTCATTTGTTTCCTCTGCATCTCTCTCCGTTCCTCCTCCCTTCCTCCAGGACCGGCCTCCTCCACTGACCCAGTCCTCTCATCCCCTCGCTGAAATATTGATAATGGACTCTCGCTCGGCCTGCGCGCTCCTCCTCTCCCTCTCTTTTCCCCCCTCATGTTCCCATCGGAGGTGAATCAGCGAACCAACAGTTGTACATAAACCCGAGTGTGTGTGTGTGTGTGTGTGTGTGTTTGCATGTTAACAGCGCTTTCCACTGCAGCACGCCAGCCGCTTTGTGATGTGTGTGAGTTCAATGAACAGCAACTCGGGCCACTTTGCGTGGACCCCTGCGTGCACAGGACACCCCGAGTCACTGGACCACTCTCTCCCTGCTCTGAGGGCCAGAAGAGGCCAATCACGTGACCATGAATATTTCACTGCAAACATGCATCACACTTGTATACTACTGACCCGTCTCCAGCGGCGGGGAGCGGCGTCAGATCCCTGTCCCTCACTGATCAAATGCTCCCTGGCAGCAGGGATTGGTCATGTATGTGCGCGTATGCATGTGAGAGAGAGAGAGCAAAGGAGGGAGAGAGAGAGAGAGAGAGAGAGAGGGGCGGGGTGCATCCCCATCGCCTGTATCCATGTCTTACCGTCGATCCTCCGGTTTCCCTCCTCCTCCTCCTCCTCGCTCACTGCGTCTTCCGCATTCCGTCTCCCCGCGCCCTCGCGCACCCACCGTACTCTCCACCCTGTCTCCCGCTCCGCGCTGGCCGATGCATGAAACCAAAAAAAAAAATGTAATATTGAGTGGGGTAAACGCTGGTGGGGGGGGGTGTACCTGCGGGGCTACACGGCAGTCATTAGCGCGAGGTGTCCAACAAACAACTGGGCGTCCTCGCCCGGTGATGGGCGGCGATGTGCGGGGCTTCGCTCCGCTGGACCGCCAACCTCCCCCGCTTCCTGTGAGGGCTGGATGTTCCCCCCCCCCCCCCCCCCCCCCCTCCCCCTCTCCCTCCCACCCCGCTGCGCTGCGTGACTGTGCGTCACGTTGGTATCATAATTCCCACGGGTTTCATGGCCGGAGACGGTGCGGGATGTTGGGCCTTTTTAGCTCCGACGGACGAGCGGAGGCAAACACGGGATCACACGCGAGAAGGGGAGGAGAAGAAAAAACACACACCCGGATAGTTAGGCGCAAAATAACGCACGGAGCACGAGCTGCTCCGTCAATCTCTGGCGATCATCGAGCCCGGGCGTCGTCTGTCATCACATGCGTCCCATATCACATCCTTGCATTTAATGGGAAATAACGTCGACGGGATGACAGCCGCTTTGCATATCCTCGAAGAATCGTGATGAGGCGCAGCAGCACATCAGGACGGATGTTGGGGGAATATGAGTCAGATCTTCAACAACAACAAAAAAAAGAAAATGGAAGGCTGGGGTCGTGTTAGAAAATGCCGCCGGGATGAAAAAAAAAATTGCAAATCTACAACAGCTGGATAAACCGTGCAGAGATGAGGTTTCCTCCTCCTGGCATCGCCTCGCATCCGTCCTTCGCTCGTCTTCTTCTTCTTCTCTCTCTCTCCACATCCGCTGCTCCGCTTGTTGCGCGTTCTGCTCTCGAGAGCGCGCGCAACGTAAAGCGTGCGCCTGCGTGTGCGCACGCGTTTGTGTGCGTGTGCGTGCGCAGGGACGGAGGGAGGCTGTGTTACCGAGGTTTGTTCCGAGTGAGCAACAATGAGCTGCTGCGCGGGCAAACGGGGAGGAATGAACATGCGGCTCACGTGTGTTCAGGGCTCTTTTCTGCAGGTCAGACCTGCTCGGGGAAAAGGTTCAGCGTCTATTCGCGGCTCCTGGAACATGCAGTCACACGCACGACACAGGTTCGGTCCAATGAACTGAAGAGAGAGAGAGAGAGAGCTGTGCTTTGTTTTTTTTGAGGACATGTTGGTGCTTCTGAACAGATCATCATGTCATCGTGTCATTTGTCGAGCTCGTCAAACCCAGCAAATCAAGCCGTCACACCTTGATGACAGGATGACATTGTGGTTTCATCATCTGGCACTTTGCAGAGGCATGTTTGCCCAGGGATGTCGTTGCTCATTTTTTGCTTTTAAATCTGCACCCTTTTGTGTTTCCCACGATGTTCTTTATCTGCCCTCAATTACTCATGTGTATCGTTGATTAGGTCATCTGCCCGCCTTATTTATAAGGTCTTCCCTGCCAGATTATCTTTATTCTCATTCGTGTGTTCATGAAAGAATCCTCCCGCCTTCATGCTGCCCTTGACTGAAAGCCTCGTTTATGCCGTCTACACGTGCGAGCTAGTGTGCAAACCAAACACAGTCCTTGATATAAAAAGAGGATGAGTCATGTCAAAGGAAATCAGTGATTATGTAGAAAAGCCAGTTTCTCTATAATTTCACTTGACTGCCTTTGAATAGCCCTGATTGCGTCTAGTGTCGCCTGTAAAGTGGAACTAGATTTCATAAACCCTCATCGCACAACAGTCACCAACAAAATTATTTCAATGGTGCTGAATAATTCATTGATTTCAGATTATGCCGTGACGTGTTTTGATTGGACAGGACAACTGATCATGTAAAAGTTCATTGCATTGCAGAGCTGCGTCGTTGAAAATGGTTGGAATGATCTCCTGGGTGTAATAAAAACAAGCCATTATGCTGTTTCTTGGCTCAGACGTGACCTTGGCTTGACTGTATACTTGGCCGCTTTTTTTGTAGACATTAAAAAACAGCCGACTCTAAGCCGGGGCTAGCAGTATTTAGTGCTCCATTTCCATAGATTTACATGGCGTTTTATTAGATGTTGGCATATCACACCACTTATGACAGGAATATGTCTGCAGCCAGATGGTTGCTTGGCTTTCAAGCAACAGAAAGGGCAGTTTGAAATGTCACAATGAGCTGAGAGGAACTTTTGGGGAAGCCCACGGTCTTGTTCTGTTCTTTAACGCAATCACCATGGCGACCCTCCTCCATCCACCGCCCCTGCATCTTCCCCTCCTCCTCCGCGCCAACCTCTGCTCCTTTTCTTTGACTTTTTCTGCTTCTCATCTTCCAGCTTGTACTTCAGCCTCCTCACAGGGTCACTCAGGCTGCACATGGACTTCCCCTCAAAGTCCTCGCTGATCATAAAGCTCCTGTCGATCATCTCCGCCGCCTCCTGCCAGTTGCGGTAGCAGCGCGGGCCGAGGCACAGTATCTCCTCCGCCGCGTTGGGGGTGAGGATGGAGCAGTCGGGGCGCAGCACCACCACCGTGGGCAGCTCCTCCACATTGAACATGGCCTCCAGCTGCCTGTGGAGAAACACATTGGCGTGCAGCTAAGAGCTTTGTACTGCAAGGTATATTTAGATTATAATCCTCCGCCAGCAGGGCGCGCACTCAACTAACTGACTAAACCCACACACCTCCTGTAGGGGTCCTCGTAGGCCAGGAACAGGCACGCCTTGGGCAGCTCTTTGAGGAAGCTCTCTTGCTGTTCTTCTGACTGGTCCAAACTGACAGATGAAGGGAAAAAGGGAGATTACATTGCTGGGAGATTTAGGCTGACTCAAAGTCTGGAAGACACCCAACGGTTTGTTTGAATGTGTATTCCTTCCTCAAGTGGACATTTGGTTCGCACAAAAAACAGGCCACAAGGCGATGGCTGACAAAGAGACACGAAAACGCGTTTATCAATCCTTAACGGGAATAGTATCGGAGTACACGTGTAAATAACGTGCAAAGTAATAATCAGGTAACATATCGTGCCGTTTGGGGATATATGCGGTCCATTGCAAGTCAAAACAACAACATATCTGTGTGTGTGTGTTGTGTGTTGTACCTGATGTACAGGAGAACCAGCTGAGCAGCGCGGTCCACGTAAAATTCATCCGTCAGTCGTTTGAAGAAGTCGCTGAGCGTGGGAGCAAACTGCTGGCAGCTCTCGCATGCAGCAGATGCAAAGAAGAGCATGAGGATGCGGTTCTGCAGGCGCAGGACGATCTCTCGTTCTGTGTCCAGCTCGTCCTGGTCCTTGTTGTTCTTTACCAGGACGTGCTCGACGAACAGGTCCACCATGATGGAGCAGGCTTAGGAATCACACAGAGGAAGCAAACAACTTCGACACATCGGTTTAACAGGGAAATCATCGGACCCAAATCAAATGAGGGTTCTGACATCTGTGACAAAGTACGGAGACTAACAACTAAATACCACATCAGACATGACAAGTTTTATATTGTTTGAATTACAAACCTCCCATTAATGGTATGGCCCATCTTGCTTGCAGTTTAATCAGATAATCCTTGCGGTTGCTTACCTCTCAGTAATATTATCTCCTCTTGAGACAGTAAATGCAGAGACAGCTTTCAAAGTGTCCTTTTTCCTTTTCTTTTCAAACTCAGCTGTACTTGAATCAGTTCCCAGCCTGTCAGTTTTTATCACGTTCCCTCATCCACCGTGTCTCCTTCACCTTGACGTCTGTAGATGTTTACTCCCTCTTCCTTTGTGTCTCTGCGCTCCACCTCCCTTCCTCCTGTCTGGGGGGGGGGGCTGAAGGACAAGAGGACAAAGGGACAAGAGGCACGACGTGTGTGTGTGTGTGTGTGTGTGTGTGAAGGCATGAGACTCAGCCGTAGAAAGTACAGCATGAGAGACTTCACTGAAAAAACTGGAAAGGCTTAATGAAGTGAACAGTGAGACCTTTATTATATTTCAGTGACGAATGGAGGAGCAGAACCAGTGTGCTGGTGATAGTTTGATCCAGTCTGCAGGGAAGAGATGTGGCCGTGGAGCCGCACCAGAGTCACACACCGTACGCAGAATACGTACTTTACTTTATTATTTTACACACAATACAAGTCATATTAGAGGACATATATATATATAATGACAAAATAAAGTTTAACAACTTATAATGTTAATTATACGCCATAATTAACATGTATAAATAAATAATGTACACATAGTGCTTGACCAAATATTGATTTTAAATTTAGACACCAGCAGGGGCCAGCGCCTTCGGCTACGATTACTTTCTATAATAACACATCACAACAAACTTTTGTTGGTATCTACCGGTGTGCTTGTACAGGCACAAATTAGCCATTAGCTACGTGTGCCAAGTGTGCTTGTATGTTTCTAATGACTGAAAACGCATCATATTTACTGTAACTTGTTATTAAAAGTTATGTAAGACTGCATCATATATATTTTCTCATGTTATATTTCATTCCCTTTCAAAGTTTTGTGTGATCTGTGCACAGTGGAATAGTTGTGTCATGCTTCTACACAACGGAGGAGCTCCTCTCAGTGCACATTTATTTGCGTTATGCTCCACAGGCGGAAGGTTTTTGAAGTTTCACAATCAGTAACAAAGGATTAACTCCTGAGGAAGTGGACCTGAAGACTTTAAACAACAGACAAAACGATGCCTTTAATATGCGTATGTCACTGTGTTTTCTTTGAAACCTTCTCTTCTTCATCTTCTCCTCCATGTTCCTTTATCTCCCTCCTTTCTCTTTCTATCCAGCGTCGCATCCTTTAACTGCTCTTCCTCCTCACTTTTATCTTTGTCCTTCCCCCATAACTTCCACCATCTTCTCCTCCTCTTGTCGTCCTCTGTCCTGTACTTGAGTCTCCTCACGGGGTCAGTGGCACTTCGCATATTTAGGTTGTCAAACTCCTCATTGAGCATGAAGCTCCTCTCAATAAGCTCCGCTGATTCCTGCCAGTCTCTGAAACAGTCACCCCCCAAATGGCAGATGTCCTGCACAGCATTTGGAGAGAGGACGGAGCCGTCGGGACGAAGGACCACAACTGTTGGTACTTCCTTCACCTTAAACTTGACCTGCAGTTCTCTGACAGGCAGAAAAGTGATATTACCAATAAATGTCTGATTTTAGAAACATACAAACATGTTTAACATTCAAACAATGAAACATAAAACTCAGACTCTCGTCTCCTCTTTACCTACTTCTTGTATGGATCATCAAAGGTCAGAAACAGGACCTTCTTGTGCAGATCTTTGAGGAATCTCTCCTGCTGCGCCTCCGACTGGTCCAAGCTGAAGAGAGGAGATGGATATTGACATTTTATGAATGATAAATCTGGTGAGTGGAAATTCATGCAATCACATGAGTGCGTCAGGGATATATGAAAAAAAAAGATGGGTAGACCTGACGTAGATGAGGGTGAGCAGTTTGGGGTATTCAATGTACGCTGGATCTTTCAGTCTCTTAAAAAAGTAATTCAGAACAGGCAGGAACTCCTGGCACCTGCCGCACTCTGCAGATGCAAAGAACAGCATCAAGATGCGGTTTTCGAGGATCCCGGTGATCTCTCGCTCTGTGTTGAGTTCATCCTGCTCCCAGTTGTTCTCCACCAGAACTCGGTTCAGGAACAGGTCCACCATGACGACAGAGAGAGAGAGCAGGCCTTCTGTGGGGGAGGGACGGGGAAATATGGTTTAGTGTGTTCGTGCTACCACATAAAAGAGTGATCTTTATCAGGCTTCAGTGAATCGCCGACTGCATCCAGGCGACAAAAGCAACACTGCTGAATATCTTTAAGAGATCATCTGAGACTTTCAGTGCAGCCTCAGGAGTTTAGCTTTAGGGATTTGAGAATGACCTTTTAAAATCTCAGAGTGCAAAGTCATTGCACACAACTGAGTGGTAGCAAAAATACAGTGATGGAAAGAGTTTGTGTTTTTATTTAATTAAATTTCTTAATACATACTTTGTGGCGGCTTTGCATTTTGCTCTATTATCTAATACTAGTTTGAAAACATTGGTTGGTAAGTCAGAAAAAATCATTTAAAAATTCGGAAAAGTCCGGGAAAAAACATCTGCTACATATTATATGTGTACAGTGTGAGCGAGGTTGGATCAGATTTCATATACTATGGCAGCACAACTAAATATAAAAATGTTAAGCATAACAAAAACAGTCCCATAGGCAAAGTCTCATGTCGGAGTCGATCTTGTTATTCAAATACGATTAGACGCAGCTGGAACGAGCTTTCATTATCATCACAATTAGAAACTAGTTTTTTATCTGCAGTACATTGTGCATTCTCTTTCAATGAGGCCAAAACCAGTCTAGTAATTGATGAAGGATTTATATTACATTTGGTTGTGAATCATTTTCTTCACATCTATTCAGTACTGCATCTTAAATGGCCTGTATGCGGACAGTTACCATGGAGACAATATTTCCACAGAGGGACAAATTAGTCAACGTGTTTTCAGTTATGATCACTATCTTCACCAACAGACTATTATGGTTGGTCATGCTTTAGTTATTTTTTTGTTTGTTTATAAGCTATATTAGTGAATGGATCACAATAAGGATAATGTAGGAGCACCTGAAGACCCCTCTGCTCATTCCACCCTCTCCAAAAATCGCCTGCTCAGAGGTCATCCCGGTCACACTCACACTATTTCAAAAGCATTGGAAGAAGGACGATGCTTGTTGATCCCACGGCTTTTGCGCTCTGCATCTCACGTGATCGCAGCTTCAAAAGCATGTCGGAGCGCTACGGCGGCCTCCGGGTATCGCAAACACACGGGTGTGCAAAATGGAGAACCTGCTCAGTGTGTCCACACGAACGGCTCCTTCTAACTCCTCTAGAGATTATACTCTGAAGAAAACATTGTTACGAGTACCATGTTATATATTTCTGCTGATGGAGCGAATGCCGCAGGCCCTTTAGGTGATGCTGCACATCGACGGACCGGTGTTTATTTTTTGTGTTGCGGCCTACTGAAGGACATCCGTAAGCTAGTTATAGACAAAAGGAATCTATAACAGCACCGCCAACATGAATCAGCCCTTTGTCCAATGGTGTTTTCCAAAGGCAGACTTATGGCTGAAAACAAAAAAACAAATAAGAAATAAATTTCACATATAGAAACGAGGTTCAGGCCTAACGTCTCTGAAATCTGTCTCCACCGGCCCGTATTTCACTGTGGCAGCAGTCGCTGCAGGCTGCGAGTTGACAGCGATAACCTCACAAATTAGATTTGGCTCTGAGGCTTTGAGCCGTTCTAGATCTATTTGAGACTACGACTCCGGATGGAAACTTTCAAGGATGACGTGGGAAAGATATGTTTGAAATCGAGCAGCATTCATCTTACCTGAAGAAAAAGGGGTATTTGCTGGAAGACTGGAAGGTCAGAGTCATTCGGAGAAGCTATTGGAGCTGAGCTGATCACACCTAATATATATTAGCAACACGGCCTTGTTTTGTTAGTTGCTCATTTAATAGGCCATCAATCTTTGTACGCGCGGTGTCAGCTGCATTTACCACAAGTAATGTATCTCACCTTGAAAGTCCTCGTCTCCAACAACAACAAAAATAATGCCCGGTCCTCCCCTTTTTTAATCCATTTTCCTATTTTTTTGATTTGCTTTCCTTCTTCCTTTAAATCCGGTGAGGTTTTTTCCCGTTTTGTGCACCTTTCACTGCCTCTTCACCCCTCTGTAATTTCTTTACCCGGCACACTGTGGTCTACGGAGGGAGATTACAGATAGCTGGAGGTGTGGCAGCGCTGTAATTCAGGAGTGGAGGTTGCCTCTGTGTGTGTGTGTGTGTGTGTGCGCACTGAGGGCCATTAAAACTCTAGCTCAACACAGTCAATCTTATTACTTAAAGAGAAGAAGGGGGGTGGAAAGGATGGATGAAGCAAAGCACTGATTGGATTGCGAAAGGCGGACTGACATGTAGGTTAAATTGTAGAAAGACAGACAGACAGGAGACAAAAGCCTCCTCACCGGCTCCAACCTTCCCCTCACATCCAAGCACTGCGGGTTGTAACCTTACCGAGGTCCCTTGTTTACCCCTCGGAAGCAAATTCGGATTCTTCTGCATCCTCTCATCAAGAAGAGTTGACAGCCAGGATGCAGAGCTTCAAGGAAATGCACCGAGGAGGTCGATAGTGAGAGGGGCGAGCCTGGTTCTGCTCAACCCCCCAGCAGGCTCCACTGTAGAGAAGTGGCCATCGATCTGCAGGGGCGCCAGCAGAAAATACCCGAGTTAATCTCAACAGTGGGCTGAGGTGTATATATAGAGAGAGTAGGTAGTGATCTAATAGGATTAGTCTGAGTCACAGACGTGTGCCACTTTACTACACACATACACACACGTAATGAAGCTAAATATCCTGAGGACATGTGAGCAAACGGACACAATACACGCTAAAGCTTCGGAACCATGACATAGAGCGCCGTTCTTTCACTGTGCATCAGTCCACCACTTATTCCATTAATTGTACTATGGGATGGATGTTAATTCAATTTTAAACATTCCTGTTCTCTTCAAGATGAAATGTTACATTGACAAAAAAAAGGTAATACTTGATTTGGATGAATACATTTCCATCAGCTGCAGTTCTTCTTTGTGTCTGAACAGATAGAAAGAGCAACCTAGCATGCTAGGCTAGCATTTAGCTTAAAGCAAAGGCGTGAACAGTTCTCTCAGTGAGGGTCTCTAACTAGTGCAATGTATGTTTTATATGAAAGAATTGTTGTGTTGGATGCAAATAATATGTTTCCAGTACATAAGGGTAATTAGCGTGTAAAAGAAAAGGGAAGGAGGAGGAGTAATGACACCGTGCTGCAACCCAAACTCACCATTATGTTCTGGTGGGGCAGACAAGCACAAGCAGGCATTGATTAAAAGAAGCGTCACCGGGTGAGACGTTCAGATTGTGTCCAATGTGCGCTGTCCAATCTAACAAACACACAGTGTGTGCAAAGCCAGATAAAGAACATCACAACCAATCATTATAAAAGTCTTTATTCATTCTTTAAAAAAAAGTCTTGCGGAGACAACTAAATATGGAGAGTTACCAAACATATTTTTTGCTTTTCCTCATCTAATCAACAAGCTAAATGCAACAAAAACCTGCACATTTGGTTTAAAACTGCACTTTGAACTGAGTGGAAAACAACAAGACACTAAATCAACACATAGCTGTTAATGGGTAAAAATGTCTCACATAGAATAAGAATGCATATACAAACACATTCATGAGTAAAACATATCTAACGTTTTTATGGTAACAACCATATAAAACTTGCTTCAATAACACACTGGCTTAACCAAACGACAAGCGCCGAGAAAAGAAGAAGATGAAGGCGCAGTGGTTCCGTACTCTTTGGTAGAACTCCTCACAGCTTTTCTTTTAAGGGGCCAAGAGCCAAACCTGCGGCCAAGGGATGAGCGTTGGATGCAATAAATAAAACAAAAGGTTGACTCTTCGAGGAAAAGACAGGAGGGAGAAACGTCCCTCCCTCTGTATTCTCTCCCTCTTCTCCCCCGTCACAGCTTTGTTCTATCTACCTCGTCCTTATCTCGCTGTGCCAGAGTTCCCTCCTCCTCCTCACCTCCTCTCGTCTCCTTTACAGCTCGTCCCGCGCGCTCCAGTTCTCCAGCTCAGACTGCAGCACGTCAGAGTTCTGAGCCTCGAAGCTCAGCTCCCCCTGCTCTTGAGTTTTCCTCGACTTGGCCCGGTCCCAGTCCGTTTTGAGGGCCTCGTTGTCCCAGACCACCGATGTTTCCGTGTCACTGATGTAGCCCTGGTCTCCGGTGTAATGGGTCGGGTACACCAGAAGCGGCTCGGCCGAAAAGGCACGCAGGTCCCGAACCTCAAAGTGGCCCATGTACTCCGAACTGATGAGCGAGAGAAGCGGGGACGTGAGTGATTGGAGCAACAAGAGCGCCACGGAACAGAAGAACGGGTAGAAGATGGAGGGTGTACTCACACTGGATGCTTGTTGTACATGACAGGGAGGAACTCATCCACAGGAAGCAACTTGCTGAGGGGTTCTGCCCGGAGGAGCTTCTGGGCTCCTTGTAAAGACAGCAGGTAGCCTAGTGTCCAGTAGGAGTAGTCCGCCTCCACGATATTGTGGATGTTTGGTACCGACTTCTCCTGGTGGTCCACCTGCATCCGCTTCCGCCCAATGTAACTGTTTGTTTGTTTTAGTTTAAGAAGACAGTAAATATCACAAACACTAAAGCATCACAGACACCAACGCGCTGCTCAGTAGTGTGATGCTAAGATGCATAATTCCAGCATGTGATCATGTGTGACAGATGGACGGATTTGGCTGAAAAGGGGCTGATAACCGCGTCTGTTTACAGAATGGTGGTTTCACATCACTCACATGAGATCCCAGTCCAGCTTGTGCTTCGTCACCTCCTGCAGCAGCGTCTGGAGACGTCGCTTGAAGAACACCTCGAAGCGCAGGTCATCCTCGATGACCAGGGAGGTCTGCAGACCACGATCGGCTATCTGGTGTTGTCATAGAAGAGAATCTACAGTAAGTACTTTTTTCACTGATATGTTGAAATAAACTGTGGACATGTGGACATTCAACCGACGCCGGGGTTCTTTTTTTCCTCAACAGAAACTTGCTGAACATGCATTATTCCATAAAAAATAAATAGAAAACAAGCTCATTAGTCTCCCCAAGCTGCCACCTCTCACACAAGCTGAGCTACTGTGTGTTTCAGCAGTAAACCTTATCTACCGTGCACAGGTGGAGCCAAAGGCCTGAGGGCAGCCCGAGTGTCTCACCTCCTTCCAGATGTTGTAATGAGAGAGGAAACAACCCAGTTCACCTTTGGTGAGGGGCCGACTATGATAAGGGTCTTTGTAACCCGGCAGCATCTTAATCCTCATTGACTCTATATCAGTCTTGTTCAGAGCTCTGAGGGGGAGAGAAGGGACAAACAACGCGGTTAGAGCTTGAAACAATGCATCATATGGATGTGAGGATTCAGTGTGGGGGTTCTTTGTGTGTGTGTGTGTGTGTGTGGGGGAGGAAATGGGAAGACAAGGGACCAACATAACATAAGGCATGCATGTCCTACGGGCTGTTCTATTCATCATTTTAAATGAAGATAATAATCAAATATGTAGAACTGTTATGCACTAACTGGAGAGCCAACACAGGGATTAGAGCTATTTTTTACCTTCAGATAAGACGTGGTTGAGAGAATATCTAATTGACAGCATGCACCCGCTACTTTCCACCTGGTTGTTTGTCTGAGCTCAGCCTCATAGATCAATCGACACCGCATGGTGCAGAGGCACAAATCAGGTAGAAACGTGCAGTGGGAGGAGAGGGGGATGAGAGACGTACTTGCCATCCACAGCAGCAACGACCTTACAACTGAGCTCTTGCTCATACAAGCTCCTCAGCATTCGCTCGCGACGGTCAGATCTCCGCACCAGATTTATCATGAACACCTGGGTGCACACAAATGAAAAAAACTCTCTCACACGCGCTGCGGGTAACAGTGTTCGTTTCCATGTGTGCATGCAGCTTAGTGTGTGTACCTCATCAAAGCCGATCTTGTTCGGCTGCTTGGGAGGGAGAGACAGGAGGCTGGAGGGCTCCAATGGAGGATTTTTCACTTTCAAAAAAGAAAAAAGGGGGGGGTGTTCAAAGAGAATGTGAAATGTGGTGGGACAGTGGCACCCAAAATGTGGATCAGGGATCCGCAGGAGATTTAAAAAATGTACCATTGATTTTTATACGCTATAAAGACGAGTTAAAGTTTAACGATGACCATTTAAAAATATATATATTTGGAACCTGACAGCCAAAACATTTTGGACTTTCGTTATGCAGCAAAGGTTAACATTATCTAATTGAGGGTGTATTTTTAAGGCGTATGGTTTAATGGGTTGCCATGGTAGTAGCTTTTAACTCTACAGCTTTCCATAACCTCATGACTCTTTAAGTAAACCTGTTTGGCTTTCTCATAATGGGTACAGCTAACAACATTCACTTCACTTCAACAGAAGTTCGGAAAATTCAATAAATGCAAAACCTGCAGAGCAGTACAAAATTAGGATCAGTACATTCAAGATTCAAAGATTTTATTGTCAAATACACCCCCCCTGTGTATTGAAATTCTTATGCTTGCCTTTTCTTGAAAGCCGACCAATTTGAAAATAAAAATACAATATTTACATAAATGTACATGTACATTCGCAAACAACAAACTTCCTTTGTACAAAGACGTAAGCAGGTTTTCTCACGGCACAGTTACTGTAAGGGCTTCACCATGCAACCGTGAAACACAGATAAGTCATTCTGGTCTTGGTGAGCGCTCTTTGTCCCCTCCACTCACCCATGATCTCAAGCTGAGTATGCACGAAGCTCTCCACCTCGTCCTGCAGGGTGGCGTGGGAACGCACTGGCACTGGGAAATACCCATAAGTCTCTTTGTTGCACACATACATCTGCACATCTGCGAAAATGAAAGTGGGCGGGAAAAAAAGAAGCTTAAAAAACACAAAACATACCTAGAAAACAATTGAGCAGCCCTGCAAAATAACAAGCCCATCGCAGTTGCCTTCGTCTCACCTGCCATCCGAGCGGAGTAGGCAAAGACGATGACATCATCCAGGGCCCAGCTGTACTCTGGGTGAGGTGGATAAAAAGCCAGCTGACGGGAGGCCTCTTTCTGTAGGTCCACCAGGTAGGTGGAGTGCACCATCGGCACGGCGAAGCAGCCCCGTTGCTCCTGCTTACGGATAGGCATGTAGGCTGGTGTGCGTTTGTAGTAACCCTGCAGCGAGGGCACACAAACACGGTGCCTTTACACACAGTGCGTCCGACTCTTTGCCTGTTGAAATAACAAGCTTGGGACAATTTGTCAGGGGGAACTTGAATCGGAATATTGGCAGCTGAATGTCTACGATTGTGTCACAGTTACAGGAAGAACACTCATCTGAAGCCGCATAGTCAACCATATTTGCTATGATTGTGGGAAAAAAAGCTGCTTCGGGCCCATTAACTGTGATTGGAGAAAACGGGTGGCCGCCTTTTGGTGAGTTTTGTCTGTTCTGTGCTGGAGGGTCAACAACATCCATTTGTCTGAGTAAATGAGTACTTGAAGGCATCTTGCCGCAACAGAACTCTATCCGTGCAAGTTTGTTGCATGTTGGCATAACTGTAACGACACCAGTGTGTCTGCATATCAAAAGCATCAGGCTGTTGATGCATTTTTATTAATATATGGGGCTTACATTAGTAGACAACGTGGTTTAAAGTTTTGTAATATCTTGTGCAACCTGCAGTAACAAATAGAGAAGATGGAGCAAATCAAACATAAGGAGCTGTGAGGGCTGCATGTGTGCCAGTCATAGTCATCTTTATTAGAGCTAAATACTATTATATCAAATCAGAAAAGTTTCAATTACCTGCGACACCAATCATTTACTTTAATTTACTAATTATATTCAGCTCCCAGTATTTTCAGATGAAACGCTTGAATAAAATAAGAAAACTCCTCTACTGGGTCTTCAAATTGACTCCTGGAAACTGTGACTTATTCGCACAAATTTGATTTCCCAGTGCATTAGAAAAAATAATGAAGTGTTAAATTCCCACTAAATCAAATGTATGTGTTAAGAAGGAGGCAGGAGCTCTATTATTCAGCAGGACGGCATTCAGGGCCACAATTTATTCACCATTAATAACCCAAAGAGAAGCAGACTGTAGGTAGAGACAATGTTGTCGATGATGATGATGATGATGATGACGACAAATAGTCTGTAGACTCTCTTGGTTCAGCTTGTGTTTTAGAGCAAACACAGATGTTCGTGTAAATGTTGCCGCGTGTTGTAAATATGTAATGAACAAGGCAACATGCCACACTACAGCAGCATGCTCTTCCAAGCCCATACCGACAATTTATGCAGCAGTCTTACAGAAAGCATCTGTTTATGTCCATTTTTCGGATGTTTAAACGTGTTTTCTGCACGTGTCCAGTACCTGTGAAGTCATGCCGCACCAGAAGTTAGAGTACGCCGCTCTGGACTCCAGCATCGGCGCGACAATGGTCTTGTTTTCACTCATCAGTTTCCACAACGTGTCGGTGTTGGTGAGAAGGTTGTCGCAGTCGGCCACCTGCGGACAGATGAGAAGGGCACAATATCGACAAAAAAATAAATAAATCACACACAAACGTGGACACGCAAGCACAGACAAAATGTCACTGAATGACTGATCGTGCCAAAGCAACAGGGCTCATCACAGAGGACATTGGACATAATCAGCACGTTCCTAACCCGATTTTATCCCACAGCCGAGTGTCTCAAACCAGCCGGGAACACTTTCAATCTCCTGCACTCTGGTTGGAAGCGGCATTGTATTCGTTTTGAGGGTTAAAATCATATCAAGGCACCTTAACTTAGTAAAAATATACATTGAAGTTTATTGAAAAATGGGCTTAAAAGCTTGAAAACCTTTTGACAATGTGTAAAGATGTAATATTTTAAAAATGGAATTACGGGGTTCATTGCATTCCAAACAATTTTTTTCCACTGTATCGGTCTTCTCCATTACTCTCCTTTTGCATTACACAACTAAATGCAGTATTTTGCAATATTCACAACACAAAGAACTTTCATGTCACATAGATCGTCCCTGGAAGATTCAATTTTATGATTAAGCAGAAATGAAGACATAATGACCAAGTTATAAGTGAGCCTTCAATGAAAATATCTAAAACGTAGGTTTATTCACTAGTCATTTATTTGGCCTCCTTAATGCGATTCATTTCCTTCCCTATGTAGAAATTTGATCTTGGCTCTCTCGTTGACATTTCTTCCTTTAGCCGCTTATAGACAGAGGATGCCTACGCACACGTCTGACCCAGACGCCTCGCTGGGAGGCACTAATAAGGCTGTCGACTGGATGATGACATACCAGCAGGTAGTCGGCCCACATCTCACGGGCGCTCTCCAGAGCGGCCTGACGCAGCTTCATTACGTGTTCATAGCGGAGATTACTCCAGTGCTTAGGCCCCGGCTCGTCTTCAAAGGCCCTGAGACATGCAGACAGACCCATTAAGTAATGTACGTCTCTCTCTCACACACACACACACACAAAGTACCTGGGTTCCTCTTGAGGTCTCCACTCCACGTAGTGATAGTCATTCTGCACCTTGATAAGCCAGTCCCTCAGGATGGCTGTTGTGTTGTCTATGTTGTGGTCTGTCGCCACCCTGTGGGCGAGGGGGCACGGGGAGGGGGGTAGACACACACACACACACACACACACACAGGCTTTTATTAGGGGGAACCGTATCCGTCCAGGTACTGACCTTTTAAAGTCTTGCCTGCATCTCATAAAAACTTGTTTCCTGACCACCGTCGTTCATTGATTCCACCTTCGTCCGTTGCATCGGGCCCACTAGCTGCAATCCCTCTGCATGATTATACCTTTTTATAAATATCTGACAGCGGTTATTATTCTGTCACTCAAACGGCATTCTATTGTTTTCTCCGTCTCTTATTCGTTTGTTGACAACCGGATGAATAATGCTTCCACTTCCAGTGAGACGTGATGTGTAGGAATATGCTCATGTTACCTCAAAGACCAGATCAGCATGCATTGAGGTACGCAGTTTTTAAATATGGTTCTGAAGAACACTGGTTAGCAGCGGGAAGCATTGAATAATCAAGCATTTTATGATTAGCAGCTTGATTTCATTCATGGGTTAAAATGACAACGGTTTGCTATTGATGGTGAAGTAATTTGTCAAATGTGTAGAAACATTGTAATTAGTAGTTTTAGGGCCATTGTTCAGACAAACTTGTAATTGGCATGTTTCCCTTCTGATGTTAGCAGAATACAAATTCAGGGATTATTACACAATCTAGAATGAATGCCTTTTGAGGGGCAGAAATCCAGATACTGACCAAAATAGGCGCATATTATTTTACATGACGACAGACTACTACTGCATCAGGGATTAAAAATATAACGAAAGATATCAAATTCCAGACAACATGACAACGATTCCTCGTCCGCCTCCACTTTGGTGCTGTGAGGGTTTTGTTGTCATTAGCGCAGAGCTGCACATCACATGAGAGCGTGCAGACGGACAATAGGAGGCCGGTGAAGAGGAGCACCAGCCGTCTGTGTTGTTACAACAAATCTCCTGTGCGCCGGGGGGGGGCAGAGAGAGGGGGAAAAAAACATGCAAATAAGAGATAAGTCAATGTACTACGGATTCCACGTACAAATAAATTCTAGCATTCTAGCAGGAGACAGCCGGCGTGCTGCGGGTGTGTGTTTCCCATCTGTCTGTGGTGTTTTTAACACGCCGGTGCCATTCCAGCACCTACATGTGGCCGTGCCATCAACCCATCCTGCTCTTCCCCCTCTCCAGTCTCTACGTTTCCCCTCCGCGACTGCTCGCTGGAAAGTTCCGAATGAGCAGACGGCAGCGAACGTAAAAAAAGAAAAGGATTCATCCAGCACGTGCTCGCATGCCCGCACCAGAGCGCTGCCTGAAGGACTCTGGAGGGCTGAGAAAGAGATAGATGGATGGAAATGAAGATTTTTGGATTGATAAACTCCACTCTGCAGGGCCCTGGAGAAACCATACACACACACGCACACAATAAGGCAGTCTGCATGCGTGTGCGTTGATGCCGCCGCTTGCCGCGTGCTCCATCTTTGCTTGTCAGGCTGATGGCCGCAGGGATCGACAAGCGGCCAGCTAACAGCACTGTTTATGTCTTCCCTGCAGTACAACAAAACCTCTTCAGATTCGCTCTCGCACTGAGGCAAGACGTGTGCTGCAGATCAAAGCAGAAAGCTGAGGGCGCCACATGGGCAGAGTGAGACGCAGGCACGGAGGCCCTATTCGATGGCTCGGATACAAGGGAACAAAAGGAGCGGCAACATCCCCGGTTGGTTTGCTTACAGGCACACTTTAATCCCTCACTCCAACTCCAACCTGAAGGGAGTGAACGGTGTTTAGTTTGAATCCAAACACACAAACACATCGCTTGAGGCTTTTGCTCCTACTTGCCTTTCTCAGGTCTCTGATATGAAATAGAATTTAAGCGGTCAGCTCTGAATTCTGATGAAAAGAATAATCTTCATGATAATAGTAATAATAGTAAGAGAGCTAACAACAGATCGTCTGGCACGGGATTCTAAAGGCAAGAGGAAGTGAGCAGAAGGATCTGGAAGGTGGGGGCGGGGCGGGCTGTGTGACGTAGCGACAACATCTGGACATCTTTACTGACCCGGTTTGTTTGTTGTAGCGCGATTGCACAACGATTTTTTTTTTTGGCTGGAGGTAAAATTATTTTTAGCATCTACTTGGGTTCCAGTCGAGGCTGCGAGACGGAAGACGTCGAAGCGGGAGGAGGGAGGGGGAATAAAACGGAAGGGTTGGGGAACGGAGAGGCCAGCTGTGACCGAATGGAACTTTTCACGGGAACGAGCGCGCCGCTGACCCGCGTTAAAAATAACGCGTGCGCGCACGTTTACCTGCGCGTGGGTACCAACGCGCGCCGCGCCTCCGCTGCAGCGTCGTGTGAGCGCGCGCGGGCGTTGAATCGCACTTTGTCCCGCTTCGCTGCCGGTTATGTTTTCTTAAAACACTTTTCTAAAGTTTCGGGACGCGTTGTGGCGGACGCCGCAGCTTCGACACTCACCACAGCGCAACGCGGTCCTTCGGGTAGTCGAGGCGCTCGATGGCTCCGAGGAACAGCGGCAGGGAGTGCGCCGAGTTGCGGCACACCACCGCGAGGACGACCCGGGGAGCGAGGAGCGGAGACTCGGGGCTCCAGCGCTCCTCCGGGAAATATCCACGACCCGGGCCCGGCAGGAGCAAGACTAGCAGGGCAGGCAGAAGAGAGGCGGCCCGGGGCATGGCAGGGGGAGAGAGACTCGCTGGAGACGCGGCGGGCAGAGGAGGAACCGGGGGATGTTCACGCTGAGGCTCCCGCTGTTGTGCTACGCCGACAGCGGCTACACGGCGGAGGAAGCGGCTGAATTAAAGGGCACGTCCGGACTGGTCGAAGGGAAACGTAGTGTTGCCAAAATAAATTCGGTCACACACACACACACAATAACTGTGCCTCGTGCAGATTGTTCAAATGAATCATATCAGGAAGTTCCTGCTCTTCTTGGTTTGAATAAAGAGTCGTATTTCACGGACATAACTAGGTTACGTGCGTCCTTTGAGGCTGGTATACTGCCGTTGGCGTCCCCCCCTTTAAGAGCAGACCCAGCTGCAGGACAGACAGACAGCAGTGTGGACGCGTCCACTCGTCCGTCCAACGTCCCGCAGACTTGTATGATCACACCTCAGGCTGCAGGAACCCAAACTCGTGTTGCTGGTTCTCTGCATTGCTGCAATGGTTCCCAGTCCGGTTGTTGGGTTCTGGACATTAAGCCGAACTGCCAATAAAGGTTCACAACATCTGTATGTGACAACTCAATGATGTGGCTAAAATTAGCTGACGTGGATGCAATACATGTATACTACTTTAAGCCTGGGTGATGTGAAGCATTGGAAAGTAACTTATCCTCACATTTAAGAAGCTTAAGTGTTTTAATTATTTCATTCATACTTAATGAAAGTCATAATGAATTGATTGTCCAAATACAATAACTTCCCACGTCCCAGTGCACTCACAGGCGTCACCATCATACAATAAAAAAAATGGAACCATGGACTTGAATTTTAACACAATTTTTGAATGAGCTGTCTGTTGTATCAGTTCAAATTGGAGTGGAGCTGTACGTACAAGTATGTATTTTTTGCAAACATTGCTTCATAAATCATATATTCCACACCGTTTTAACAATTCATGTCTATTTCAAACGTTGAACTTACTAAGAATCATTAATATTTTAGAGAGAAATGTGGCACCAGCTTCCACTAACACATCTCTTGCCTCAGGGCTCACATTTCGTCTTCACACCACATTCCATCAGTTACACGATACCTGCCAGATAATTGAATAAGTGGTCTAAAGAAACTATAAAAATACCCCTCCTGTCGCCTGAGGGAAGATCCTCCTTCTCTTGTTACTGTTTGCAAGACAAAAAAACTCTTCAAGAACAGTGATTCAAAGACAATGAAAGAAAGCTTTTTGTGACATTCTGTAATGCACAACGTAGCATGAGCTTATTTTCTCATTGTACACCTGCTGTTTTCCTCTGTCGCTCTGCTTCCAGTGCAGCTTGTTTTAAGGAGCTTTTATCCGATCAGATGAAGCCCACGAGTCTCAATAAGAGAGGCCTTCAAGTACGTCTGCATTCAACCAAAAATGTGATTTTCTTTTTCACATTGTTTTATATGAAGAATGTCGCCTTAACAGCTTGAAGTGTCTTTCATCTTTTTGAGTTTTATAGTATTGGGGCTTATAACGCATAACGCATAACGCAAACTGTGTCGTAATATCTCTGCAAAATGTAGTATCTATTAGTCTTGTACTATTCTGTGCACTGACCTATTTCTGTTTTGTTTTTTGGGGGGGAGGTGAGAATTATTGTTATTATTATTCATATAATTAGTTTCTTTGTCATTTACTTAATTTTATTCATCTTACTTGTGAATTATTCCTTGGGAAAAATGAAAAAAAATGTACATATATTTTTAAAAAACATCAAAACATTAAATAAGGGAGGCAGGTTAATGCTTATGACGATTTCCCAGCGCGCCTCTTTTTCCATTTTTTCACCGCTTTGCTTTCTGATCATAGGTCCATGATGCTATCGCGTGTCCCCGGTTATCATCGGCTCAAACGGGCCTTCGAAGGAGAGAAGGAGTGATTGTTACATCCTCTGACTTCACAGACTCAAACGCAGTGTGTGAGCCACGTCGTCCTGCAGCAGACTGCCGCGTTGCAGTCCTGCAGAGATCCTCAACATCACAACAATAGAGGGACAACTCCTCCCTCGGGGCTGACACGGCATCTTCAACCCGACGCTTTGCTGTCCTTTAGAACTCTGACAGCAGCCGACATGATGTCAAATATACACATGTTCTTTGTGGTTTGCATATTTCTGGTCTTTTGTTTTCCAACTTTGATCCAGGCTGTCACACACGCAAACACTCGCTCCTCGAGGTTTGACACCCCTTCTTCAATCACCCTGCTTACAAACACCTGGACGAAGAGAGACAGAAGAGGAAGCAGAAAGATGAGTGACGGGGATATTGGAAAGGCGTTAAATCACGTTAAATAACGTGATTAAAAAAAAAAGAATACATAACCGCTCATAATCATATCCTTATATCAGGTTGTAGATTAGTTGCAGCTAAGATGAACTAAAACAGGACATCATGTAACACAAATAGGGAAAATACCAATTATTTTGCGCATTGCCTGATGGCTCAGCTCTTCCCCATTGGCCATTAGATGAACCTCTGTTGGAAAATTACCTCTGAGCTTCTTCAAAGAAGACAGGGCATCTATGAAGGCCCTGGACTGTGGTGATTCCACACAGACAGAGACGACTAAGGAAACGGTGGGTGGGAGAATGAGTTGCAAATGAAGGCATTGAAGCCTGAACTGAACCGGGGCTCCCATGTTGTGTTGCAGCTCTCAGTTTGTCGGATTACCGTGTGTGTTTGTGCCGTGATCTGGCAGCCAGACACCCCGGGGCACTGCGCGGGTCTGGCATGGACACAGGAAATGCTGATCTACCTGAACCGGGCATGCAAAAATAAGCAGAGAGAGGATCAAACGTTCAGGTATTTGTTTGAATAAAGCAGAATTATTTACTCCCTATGCCTTTGGAAAGTGTATCTTGTATTCCAGAAGTCGAAAAGTGTACTTTTGATGTGTCATCATGTCATCCACTAGCTCACGATGTTCTAGTATTGAGGTGCAGATGTGACACCCAGAAAGCACCGTCTCTGTCCTACACCGGCAACCACCTTCAAAAAGCTGCAGTATGCAAAGGCACATCGAATCACACGCACACACACACACACACACACACACACACACACACACACACACACACACGATGTGCAGATCAGGCTGCAAAGGCAGATGTAGTTTAGGGAGCAGATGGCTCTCAGATTTCTGTCTTTACCTGTTTGGAATGACGGCTTTGATAAGCAGCTGGCGATGTGTCCGGATCCTCTCCCAGCATTGAGTCAAAGACCCTTCCAGCACAATCCCAGCACCTCTGCATCTCTGCACCTCTGAAGTGTTGAGATGAATATAAAGTATTTTAGTGTTTTCTCACTGGATGCTGAGTCGGCGGAGGAGCTTCGATGGGCTCCGTGTGCTTGTTCCTCATGCGGGCCGGTAGGTCTGAGCCGAGGTGTCGTTCGGAGAGGAGTCGCCGTCTGCCCGGTGTCGGCCCAGTCCTCGGTTGGTCCATGGAAGGAAAATCTAGCTTTTAGTGCCAAAATGGAATTACAATTTTTGGAACAAACATTGAAGTAAAATCTAGAAATACATTGTTGGAGTGATTATGCTTCCAGACAGCTGCCAGATCGCCACAATATTGAACTGTCTCAGGAGAGTTCGGTGTTGGACAGCAGTCTTCACCACATTTCATACCCTTCTGTATGTATAGGTGACAGTTCCCACGCAGGATTGATGTGTGTACAAGTGCAATAGGTATCGGGGATTAGTCCTCTGCACTTATAGAAGTTTAGTATTAAGCAGCAATCTCTGCTTTTGAGCAGACAATGGACTGAAAAGTGAGTTTAAGATGTACAGGCCACAAAGGAGGAGAGAGAGGGAAAGATATATTTCTGTGTAAGAAAGGAAACATTAATGCAGTATAAACGTTCAGAGGTCATTCATATTCTCAGCCTTTTAGCCCCTTTTCCTTTTCAAGATTACTTTGACATATTTGAGATATTCAAATATCAAACATGTCACTGGCAATAACTTTGCAACAAACAGAACTCCCCTCAACACGTAACTGATGCTCAAACAAAATGTGAGCCACATTCCTACAGACGCACCTGAGATCCGCTTGTGTTCCGTGGAGTTTAGATGACACATTCCTGCTCATTGTCCTTTATCCGTCTCTTCCCTGTCGTCGTGTGCTGTCACATGATCTTCTCATCGGACGGGTTTGTTTGTCCTCTCCTTTTCCTCCCCCTCTTCCTTTAATCGCACATCATTTCATCATGGCAGACTCAATAAAAGTGATTCATGTTGACAGAACTCGAGGCCTTCATATGTATCAGTCAAAAGTTTGCACACATTTTATCATTCAATTCCGTAAGAAAATGTGTCCAAACCTTCGCCTGGTACTGCACTTCACAGAGGAGGACTCCTCTCAGGACGGAAATTAAGTTGTGATTGCAATTGACATTGACTTAATAATATTAAGGGGCTGCTGAAAGAGGACGCTGTGGGATTCTGGTACTTCATCCTCTCAACATTGTGGCTTTCAAAATCCATTTTGTCTGTGTGATGCGTGCAGAGTGGCACAACCCACATTCAGATGTTATCAGTGAGCAACCTGAGTCGTGCAGGTCAGAGTGGGAACATCACGTGCCGCAGAGCCGCTTCATTGTATCATCAACAATACAATGAAGCTCTTTGCTTCACAATTGCCATTGTCTTTAAACCTCTCCATGTCGGAGGAGAGGCACATGTATCGAGCCGAGCAGGAAGACAAGAGACAAAGGTCCACAGAGCCCTTGCAGCCGATACATGCAAACAAACACGCAGAGACACCTGGTGCAGGGAGAGGTGTCTCATCCTGCACCAGCCAGCATGTGTGAAATAGATTGCGTAATTTTGGGGTCTGCTGCTCAGGAGGGGGATGAAATCTGAACTTGTGTCTGATGACGGAGGTTATGGAGGTGCGAGTGCACACAGTCATTTGTACAAACAATGTGGACATGGATTTGTCTTTACACGTTAACAGTTACTAGTTAACTGCATGGGACAGTGAAAAAAATATTTTGATCAAATTGCTCAAGGCCGGCCAAACTGGATCCATTTCACACAGCTGGGGATGTGAGAATGTTCCATAAATCACAGTCGTGAAAATGCTGACACTGCAGAGTGATGTAAGGGTACATTTGGCGGAGTTTCAAGTTTGAGAAGAAGTGTGTAAGCAGATCTACTTTAATTATGTTGTACGTAGTTATAGCGGGAATTACAACTGATGAACGGCAACTGCTCATAGAACACTGGTAGGTAACGCAGAGGAACATGAGGAGAGTCTGTCCGTGTTCTGCTTGGATGACCTGGAGCCTTTATGTGAACTGTGAGCAGCCAAGACAAGTCAATCTTGTCACGCATATATATGCATATATATACATATATGCATATATAAAGTAATATGCCTTTGATTCTCGCATATCACCATCCGTCTTGGGGTTTCTTTTTTGATGGAGCCACCGAAGCAAAAGGCCTGAAATCTGCCACCTTATTCCTCAACTGAAAGCAATAAAGCATCATGCTGAAGGATTGGATACAGAGCAGCTGGCAGCGATTCACTGCTGTCCTCAAGGACACTTCAGCAGGGCAGATGATTGCCAATAAGAGGGCCTGAATGCAGGTTTCCCACTTAGAGAAATCCCTGCTGCCAAAGCCAAACGTAACAGTGGCACAAAAACGTAAAAAAAGAACAGCAGAGTTCTTCTGAGATTTGAACCTTGTTGTTATGCTGGAACTAAGTGATTCCCCCTCATGACCGTTGCCATACTTTTTTATTAACATGCTTTCCACAGAAAGTGGACGCTTCAACATGGAGGCAGTCAGGCATTTATTTGTCTCTGTAAATATTTATTTTCCAGCCCGAGCAGATGTCGCCTGTTAATCCAAGATTAGTTCGCGCAGGCAGAATTGAGTTTCAAAGAGGCACCGAGTTGAAAACTAAGCTGGTAATTACCGTTGCTACCATTACGTCTGAAACGCACGTTTAGATCTCATTACACATGCAGTTTGACGCACACAAACTCATCCAAACGCTCAGAATAACCTGAAGAGATTATGGTAATTTTGTCTGATGTCAGTATTTTAAATTCCTTTCAAATCTTCCAGATGTATTAATACTGATGCGTCGAAGCATAAGCAGCATGTTTTAGCTGGTTGAAGCAGGACAAATCTCATGACACTGTTTGGTATAGTTTGATTCAATAAGTTCACATGCCAACATGGCATTAAGCCGTGCCGCTCCTGCACATCCGTTACTCCACCTACAGGTGTTTTCTTTGTCTCAGGATAATGTGATCGTATTGTGTTGTGCATCAGGTTTCCCGTAGTTTTAGTCGTGTTAGATTCAGAATTATTTTATTGCAGCAGACAATTCAATTTACTTTATGTTTTTCATAGTCATACCGATAACAATATGAGAGAAAAACCAGCAGGGACATAAAGTGTCCAATTATTGAAGAACATTATTTTTTATTTATCTGTTATCATGTAAATTGATTATTTATGAGTGATTTACTAATATGCATAAAGCACGGTAATGTTGTAGCTTTTAACGATGAAGCTTATTGTATCAGTAAACATCTTGGAGCGTATTTTCAAAGTGAGTGACCTTTTGGCCACTAGGAGGAGCTCAGGACATCATTAAACGGACTGATGAGGAAGATCTCTCTATGAGACCTGCGAAGACGCATACAAACATAACCAGGTTGAGCTGCGACAGAAAAAGACCTTCATGTGTGCTGCTCACTCTATGATTGGTTCACTCGTCTTTCCTAACATGTCCCTCACAGAGAAGCACGTGAAAAAAAGAATCCCCAGTTTTTGAAAGAGGAAGAAGCAGCCAGGCTTTTGGCGCTCAGGGAGGAGCGTGAGGAGAAGAAGGCAGATGCAGAAGAACACGTAGACAGAACTATATGATAGGAAATATGATCAAATCTCTGGAAGAGGGGAGCAATTCTCTGAAGGAGGAGACGGGGTTCCCTATTTAGAGGTAAAATCAATCAATCAATTTTTGTACGTGTTTGTTTTTAACAGAACTGTGAGAGAAGAGAAGACAACCAAACCTCAGAGATGCACCCTGAAGGAGCGGCTCATTAGGACGGAACCCGCCGGAAAGCAAATGACAACAAATCAGATGTCAAACCAAAGAGCAGCAAGTTCTGTGTGACAGAACAGAGCTCATCAACAGTCACAAACATACCCACAGGTTTTTGGTGCAGACTTTAATGTTGCTTTCAACAATTAAATTAGTCATATCTTGAATCCCGCAGGATTGTGGGATCAAACCTGTTTGTACAGTTCTCTTGTTTGTGTCTCAATGCCTGCAAAGCAAATTAACGTAATGTTATTCAGCCTCAGCTGTACTTAGTGATTAGTAATATCAGCAAACATAACATCACACACTAAGCTGAGACAGTGAACATTATAACTGCTAAACAGCAAAGTGTGATGGAAATAGTCATATGTTGTGTGATCGTCAGTATTCGTGGATATTGTATTATATCTAATCAACAGATGCTAATAACACCGGTTTTACATTCAATTAAAAGCCATGTTTGAACTTTATTCGTTTTTGTTATGTTGTTTTCATGTAAAACTCGCTACATTTGATTAAATCTGGTTAAAAAGTGCCACAATCATATTTGCACATCAGCGTTTAGAGGCGTGTTTCTTCTCAGCGTCCTCGTCTCTCACAGACACACTCTCCCCTCCATGATGGCTTTATAGAGTTCATCAGTGACGGGCTCGTAGCGGCCGGCACGACTGTTCAGAAAGTAAATCTTTTCACTCGAGTCTCGCGGCTTGAATCCTTCCCTCTGCAGCCGTGTCTTCTGGATTTTAAAGGTACCTGAGAGAAAAAAACAAAAACGGAAACCTTAAGTTCAGGCGCGACCTGGGGAATGTGCGCGTTCTCGCACGTCCTCCGCATCACCGTCCCACCTGTAGTGTCCAGAGATGGCAGGAGTCGCAGGAAGACGGGGCGCGCGTAGGACGGCAGCGCTTTCTGTACGGCGATCCAGAGCGCGTCGAGGTCGAACTGGCCTCCGGCGTGAGCTATGGCTGCCATACCGGCCTTCCCCTCCACACCTGCACACACACGGACAGGTGAAGGGGGCCGTAAGGCTGTAACCACACATCGAGCGCTTCATCTTTTCCTCCTTCGTTTCACACGCCGCCGCGTCCTCTCCGTCTTGTCCCCCGTCTACCTGGCACGGAAGCGCCGTAGACGGCTACGACTGCGTGTCCCAGCAGGCGGCTCAGGACGCCCTCCACCTCCGTGGTGGAGACGTTCTCCCCTCGCCAGCGGAATGTGTCGCCGCTGCGGTCCCTGAAATAGATGTAGCCGTATTCGTCCATCACCAGCATGTCACCTGCGAGACAGACAGACAGACAGACACAATGGCATTGACAGAAATAATAGCTATCGTAGTCATCCTCCCCGCAGGGCATCACAGAGCAGAGGACAAAGAGGCAGGTAGAGTCTGTAGTGATGATGACTCACCAGTACACTTCAGACCTGATGCTACTATGATTCACTGTGTTGTTTGTTAGTGTGGCAAGGAGGGAAACACAAAGGACAGGTTTCATTTGGCCCGTGAATCCATAACATTCACATTCATCTCTAAAGTCTCTTGACTGTCTTCAGACTGTGGGAGGGATCCCGTGCAGACAGCCGGTCATTATTATTCTGACTCTGTGCTCTAGAGAAACACAGTGAGGCATACCTGAGACATACGCAGAGTCCCCCACCTTGAAGACATTGTGCGCTATTTTCTTATTGGTGGAATCCTCGTCGGCGTAGCCGTCAAATCTCCTGAGTGGATCGGTGTGGTTGATGCGTCCTAACAACATGCCCGGCTCGCCTGCAGGGACGGACCGCATTTTCAAATGCTTTTTGTTTGTGTGTACGTGGTTCTGTGTGTGTGTGTGTGTGCGCGCGCTCTCACCAGGTAGACAGGGTATACAGAGGCTTTGTGAATCCCTGAGCAGCTCGCCGCTCTCCTTCACCCTGAACAGTCTGATGGGGTAAAAGCCGGGCAGGATGCGACTGTTGAATCCGCAGGCCCCCACCTAGACAAGTGGCACGTGTGCGTGAGACGGGGCGCCGCTTGGAAAACACGCCCCTCCACCTCGACGTTGTTTAAGTCATCACCAACCTTTCCGTCTATGTTGAGCAGGCTGCAGTTGCACTCTGTGGCGCCATAAAATTCCCCAATTCGTGGAATTTTGAATCTCTGGACAAAGTCTTGCCAGACGGAAGGACGGAGGCCGTTGCCAATGGCAACACGCACCCGGTGACACGCCTCGGATGAACGGGCCGGCTGGGCCAACAGGTAACGGCAAATCTCCCCTATGTATTGAATTACCTTGAGAAAAAGAAGATCGGTCATGGTCGAGGGGAAGCAGAAGACGCTCCTCGCTGGCAGCGGACTGTGATGGACGGGTGAACTCACGGTGCAGTTGTGTTTGACACAGTCATCCCAGAAGCGACTGGCTGAGAACTTCCTCCTGACTACTACAGTCAAACCAAAGAGCAAACACTGGCCGACACCCATGATGGCACCTGGTATCGTTCATATTTCACGTGATTAGACAAATAGTGTGTACATACAGAAAGGAATGATGGTAGCGCTCAACTTGCTCTCATTCGTTTTGCCTAAATATTACAGATTATAACAGTAAAACATCTAGATGAAACGTTGATCTGGGTCAGTTTAGGTGGATTAGAATGCAACACAATAAGAAACGGTTCAGTTGCAGTTCATTGTTATTATTATAAGGTACAACTCATTCAGACAGGAACCGTCTTCAGTATCTATGGCAATATGTTTGCAAGTAAAGCATTTCAAAAAGACAAAATAATATGGGCAGTGTCAGTACAAACAGAGCGGATGGATGCCTACCTGAGGAATGATACAGGGGAAGACAGTCGTAGACGACGTCATCGTGACATAAACCAAAGGAGTGGAAACCAAAGGCAGCGATGCGATAATACCTGACAAGAAAGATGGAATAAAGGGACTGACATCCATCATCGCCAGACGTCTACAAACGACATTTACCATAAATCCTTAAGGCCCTGATTTGAATTAAGTGCAATGAGAGCTGCTAATCAGACAATGTCAAATGAATGGCAGATGTAGGTCAGAAAATGATCAAAGTTGATGCAATTGGGTGCAATGCGGCTGCAATGCAGCGTTTCCTACAACTTTCTACCTCACGTGTCAAATTAAAAAATAGATTTTTTATAATAAACTCACCGACTGTGCACCACCACAGCTGCCTTCGGCATGCCCGTTGTACCAGAAGTGTAGATGTAGAAAAGTCTGCCTGCGTGCATAAAGACAGAGAGAGGAGTCGCTACTTTAGCGCAGCCTCCGCTTATTTCCTTTGGCCCTCAAGGATAACAAGGATGACACGGAGCAAAGGACAGCAGGTTGGATTTGAACTATGACGACCATGGAGCTGGATTTTTACAGAGTTCATTATTTATTTTTTCACCTTCATGCTTTGTTTGCAACAGTTTCACGTTTGTGGGATGCACCCAGACTCTCTCTCTCATTCCTTTCCCTGTTTGTGTCTCTCCTTCCATGTGCTCTCTGTTTTTATGACAGTCTGCACAAGCAAGGACTTGCTAGGACGAATGTTATCTTAGGAATGTCACGAGAAGGTAGAAACCATACAAGCAAGTCAATTAGAGGAAAGTGAATACACAGATATATATATATATACTGCTTCGGGAGTGAAGTGTGGATGTAAATGTATAATACTGAATGAAAAAGGAAGCATGTTGCGAGATGCACATGCTGGATGATATCCAGTGTTTCTTTGAGAGAAGCAGACGATGTGTTTGCCAGCTGTGTGTGTGCTCATGCGCATTCTCCATCGGCTGTATCAAAGAAGACCATGAACTGAAATCCCCCGGCGAGCAGTTCACTCTGGCAGGCAAAGACTTGCTAAGAAAAATATGGTGTTGCAATTCAAGCTGATATCATGTAACGTCGGGACTTGATTTGGCAACACAGTCATACTGAAAAAGAAGCCCCCCCTGCAGAGCCTCACCGTTGAAGTCCTTCCTGAGCGTGCGTCGTGGTGGGTGTTTGGGCGAGCGCTCCAGCAGGGCGTCCAGCTTCTGGACCTGGCGGCTGCACGACTTCTCCTCGGCGTCCCACTCGCCGGCGCAGAACAAAACCACGCGGGGCTTTAGGGAGCCGCTCACCTCTGACACCGCTGGGAGACAATTCCAAAGCCTCGTGTTACAGATCCGTGACTGCACAGCCGGCCGCCTGTCAGTATCCACGTGTTCCTACCGTCACTCATCTCTGCCCCGAACACAACTGCCCGGGCGCCGGACACGCTGACGCAGTGCAGCAGAGAATACTGCCGGAGGTTGTGGTTTATGAAGGCAGCCTCCACGCCGATCATGGCCAGACCCAACCAGAGAGCCACCACTAAAGGCCGGCTCTCCATGTACAAGGCCACCACGTCTCCCTCGGCCCAGCCCTGTGCCAGCGCCCAGTTGGCCACAGCGTGGCACCGCTCACGCAGCACCCTGAAACTCCAAATCTGGACCGGGACGAGGGTGAAACTGCAGTGAGTTCAACCGCGTCGGGCCAAACAGAGTGATGTGCAATCCCCGAACGGGTCCTCACCTGTCCTGTGGGCTCATAGATCAAGGCAGGTTTGTCTGGGTGCAGCGTCGCCACCTGCGCAAAAAGGGAAGGGATGGTGCTTCTGTTTCTCAGATTGCGGCTCATGGAAAACCTCACCCGAAGGATGACAAGCAGGCACCTTAAGTTAGAGAGCAATTGGACAGGGGTGAGTGAAATCAACCTTTAAAAAAAGAAGTTAAAAAAGTTTAAAAAAGAGTGTAATAGTCACAACAACAAAAACATCCTCACATTAAGTCTCTTTTGATGGTGCGTAAAGCGACATGCAGGAACCTCCAGGAACCCTTTCCAGACAAAAAGGAGCACCAACCCCACCAACAGGCTGCAGAGCCCGGGGGGGGAGAGCAGTCCGTCGGCCCCAAACACCGCGAGGCCCGCCGTGACAGCCCTCGTCGGATGCATCTGTGTTTGCGCACAAACTTGGCGCTAAATAAAACAACACGCGCAGCACATCTATACGTGGTTTGATGGGGGGGGGCGACTTACCTTAAACGAGAAAGAAAGGAGTCAGCAGCGGCGACGCGCTCCTGCACAGGACCGAGCGCGTATCGGGGAACTTTTTAAGTGACCCGCTGTACGCGATGGGAGGCAGCACGCGCAGGATGTGAACGCGCATAAACTCCTGCGTCACTCACCACAACATCGCTCCCCACGGGGTGATCCACCCCCCCACCCCCACATGTCTGATTGCATTCCCGGGAAATAAGATGTGTCTCTCAGAATGACACCTCGTGGATGGCGGAGGGGGGATTGATTTACAGTAAAACTACAGTGACGCACAATGGGGGAAAACAGGTAATATGAATGGGTTTTATTATTGTCAGCTTAGTTAGGGTTATGGAAAAGCAAAACTAGAGTTTTAAAGCACTTTTAGCGAATTCCATTAGCAATTCATGACACAACATGTCAGAAGTATGCCGCAGCATAACATATAAATACAAAAAAGTACAAGTACCTGCTGTTGAAATGAGACTGTGGGGTTCTGCTGCTGCGGCCTGACTTGTTCTGACGTGACTAGTAAGTAATGTCTACCTGAGTGAATAATGGCCCAGGCTGTCACAATCCACCACGGATATATTGCAGTCTATCATTTTGCCCAATTATGACGTTTATTTATTGAAGAATTCGTGTTCATTAATCCCTGGATGTACTGGCATCAGACCCAGTATGCACATCTGGGCGATGGCTGTCACTGTGAAAGCCCTGCAGAGGAAGAAGGAGGATGGGGGGGGGGGGGGGGTGGTTCAGAGAAAAGGCAACTGATAGAGAATGAAAGGAAAGTTTAACTAGAGCCCAAACACCTGGATGACTCAGTTACGTAATACTGCATCGTCTGGAAAAATGTCAGAAGTAGCAGCATAACATATGAATACAAAAAAGTACAAGTACCTGCTGTTGAAATGAGATCGTGGGGTTCTGCTGCTGCAGCCTGACTTGTTCTGACTTGACTAGTAGGTAATTTTGGCAAACTTTAAGAGACATACTGACTGATTTATGATGGTATGTCTACCTGAGTGAATTATAGCCCAGTCTGTCACAATCCACCACGGATACATTGCAGTCGTATCATTTTTCCCAATTATGACTTATGCTTATTTATTGATTGATATTTATTGAACGATTCGTGGTCATTAATCCCTGGATGTACTGGCTGTGACGCAATAAGTAGTCTGTCCGTCTGTCTGTCTGCTCATAAACCACTTTACACATTTTTTTTGATGAAATAGAAGCTTTAATAAAAATTGTGGCATTTAAGAAAACAGTACCAAACGACATACAATATAACAAAGTAGAAAAATAAGTTTGTACACCTTCAAGCTAAAACACCTATAGAAGGCCTATCTAAAATTTAAAAAAAGGATTTACATTCACAAACTGCTGCACAATGCACGTAGCTTTTTGTCATGGAAATACATTTTGCAATACTTTATTTAATCCGTACTGCTGGTCACAAAAAGAGTGCAGCCACACATAAGAACCTAAGAGACGTTTAGTTGTCAAACCAACACATAAGTGGTCTTAATCAGGCTTGTAGATGAGAAAGGGAGACAGAAACAAAACATGTTTTTACCATATCCTCTCTTTCTATGAAATATTAGAAAATATGACAGCATTTTTACACCAAGTAAAGTGTTCCGGTTCTTTGAGTGAGGTTCAAGTTGATTGTTGCACCACGTGAGTGAAGATGTGCTGGATTATCTATTTGTTAAATGAAAAAGTGCAATAACATAAACATACCACGGTCTGCACATCTCCCATAGACCTCATCAAAACAGTTGAAGTTCTCATTTCAGGGAATGCGACAAGTTACAGTCACTAACAATCTATGGAGACATTGACTAAGAGCTGTAATAAGAAAAACAACTAAATGGAATTTTATTCCCTAAACACAGTTTGATTGCAGGAAGCTGCAGGCTTATCAGAAGGGTGGGTCTGTTTTGGGAATTTCCCAAACTGCTATTTTGGGGCTGAATTCATTTTTTTTCCAAAAACAAACACCGGTGACAAAAGGCACAGCTCAATTGCAAATCATTTGCAAGAAAAGATATCACAATGGCCACGAGTGCTTCAAGTCAGTTGCTTCTGTTACCTTCAAATACAGTAAATGGAAAAAAAAAATCTAAAAGGCAAACCCACCCTTATTCTAGTACATGAAACATGTCTAAAAATACAGCACAGTGTGATTGCACATATACAGCAGGGAGCATCACTTGTCACGTGCAATCAAATAGTCCACATCAGGGTATTTGTGTCACTTTGACTCCTTTGAAAGGCAACAGCTTATACTACTGATATGTTTTTGATGAACTGATAATGTACTGAAATATCTGTCGCTTTCATTTAAAGAGTTCCTGAATAGACACTTGTTGTGGTCGGCTACTTCTCTGCTGTGAAGATAACGACACTAAATAAGAAATTCGTCAATACAACTAGATCCATCATTTACATCTTTGTAGAGCATGCTAAGAAGGAAATAAGCAAAAGTCTTTCTGTTCCACAGTTAAATCCAATAGCAGGCGAGGAGAGTCATATTTGTGGACTTTCTTATGCGGTATTATTAACGCTTCCCATCTAACGTGACCTGTTGGGCTCCCTGATTGCCGGTACCATCGGACAGTTGGCATAGTAGTACAACAAAACCCAAAGATAGTGACTGAATTTTCAATTAAAGTCTTCCAAACCTTTAAAACCAGGGCTAACTCGGTATGGTAAAGGTGTGACAGTCTGTCTTTGGGGTACGAAAACTCATGGAGCGTTTCATATTTGTGATTCTCCGGTGTGCTCCCCACTCCGAGAAGCCTGAACGAACACAAAAAAAGATTAGAAACAATGTTAGACAACAAACTGTAATGTGTCTGCACTCAAAAAAGTAAATGTCAACATAAATGCTATCGCTGTTTACATTCATTTACATTCATTATATAAATGAAATTAAGTTTTGATGTATTATCATGTAAACTTTCCTTCTAAGTTCTCGTTGGTCCAGGTGGAACACTTAATGTCTAACAATGAATTGTTTTATAAGAGGATCATGTGTTTTGTAAGTATGTGATTATAAATATCAGCTAAATTACAGGCAAATGACAATTGGAGGTACGATGTTTTCACCTGCAGGGAATAAGTATTTCTATTGTATTTTATAGAGACTTACTTGTGACTGACTGTTGGAGGGGTTGGTACTGGTGAGGTCGGAGTACCTCTTCTTCTCTGATGTGCAGATACAAGAGAGGAAATGGGCGTATTCCTCTCTCACCTGCAGGGGGCAGCAGAACATCAAAATCCACATATTGGGTCACGACAGTTTCTCTTTGGTATTTTCAATATCCTACCTGCATGCATATAGATACGCGAGTTACACACACACACACACACACACACACACACACACACACACACACACACACACACACAACAACAGTAACCACACCGTGTCCTACCTGTTTAGACAGCAGGCAGTGCATAATGAACACCAGCGCTCCCTGCAGGCTGTTAAGGATAGTGAAGATGTATGCTGCCACTAAGGTGCCCTCTTGAAACAGAAAGGCCCCAAACACCCACATCAGACCCAGTATGCACATCTGGGCGATGGCTGTCACTGTGAAAGCCCTGCAGAGGAAGAAGGAGGATGGGGGATGGTGGTTCAGAGAAAAGGCAACTGATAGAGAATGAAAGGAAAGATTAACTAGAGCCCAAACACCTGGATGACTCAGTTACTGTAATACTGCATCGTCTGGAAAATCCCTAAACAGTGGAATGCAAGAGATGAGTATAAAAGATTATTTTGAAAGGAAAACTACTTGCAGAGGAACACTCTTTCATCTTTGCATGAACCTTTGTTAGTATTTGTGATCTTATTGCCATTGATAGCTGTATACTCCAAACTGTGATACAAAGGAGATTAAGAGCCAAATGGGAAACACGTGGATTTTTTCTTTCATCAAAGCTAATATGTGTTCTGTAGCTGCACATGTTCAAGCGGTGCAAAAAAAGAGTGTGTATAAATGAAGTGAGAAGGAGAAGCAACATGTCATTAGAGAGCAGACTTGGTACTAAAAAAACATTAGCTATTTTTTTTCCCACCACAAAACGGTCGCAACGTTGCTCCATTTGGCCAACATACGTGCTGACGTGCGCAGCGGTTTGGGTGAAGTCACATTACTTCACACAATAACGCAACAGCAACAGCAGACAGAGATACTCTGTAACACGCAAACCAACAAACACACACACACACACACTGACTTGATTTTATGCAGCTTGGTGAGGTCTGGGTTGAGACTGGTGAACTTCTGGGCCAGCTTCCAGACGGTGACGATGAAAAAGAAGACGTTTAAGATGACGATGAAGCACACAGGACCGTAGAAACTCCAGATGAGCCCGTCTTCCAGAGACAGCCAGCAGCTGTAGAGGAGACAGAGGACACACATGTGCATGACCGAGTATTCCCGAAGACACCGGGAACAGCAGCCCTGATGTGATTGGATGTGATTTTGCTAAGACACGTTCAAACACACACGTACTGCTGGTCGGTACCGTATCCATTTGGTCTTATGATGGCGGATATAATGACGATAATGAGCGGGGTCCCGTAACCAGTGAGGATTAAGTAGAGGGGCCGCATGGTGGCATTGAACACCAGGACCACCATACGGTACAGCTGCACCCCTTCCAACAGCATCCAGGTGAACACGCCCAAGAAGAAGTAATGGAGCATCGCCGCAACGAACCTGCAGGCGCCCTGAAATAATGCGAGGAAGAAGGACATCAGAGAGGAAGAGGACTGAAATGTCTCACTGCACAAATCAGATCAAGATAATCATTTGAATTAGAAGTGTCCAAGCTATTTATGAAATTAATCACCATTAATTGATTACAGTCGGATTTAGGTAAAGAATTTCCCCAGTTTATGTCGTAACAACATTAACATTCGATAAAGAATTTTATATTATAGTGGGTCAGAAGCTACATCTGACTATTTCATATTCTATTTAACTGATTAATCAATCAAAATCCAGCCTACATTGGACATGTGTTTTGTACGTTAAATTGTTTATAATATTACCGGTTTGAGTAAAAATTCTAATATGTTAAGTACAATATAAAGTTGCATAAAATGGAAAGTATAAAATCCACAAAAAACAGCAACTACTCCCCACAGAGTCAAACACATGTGTGAGGTTTTTATTCTTATTTCTTCTTCTCCTTACTACTTGAACAATATGTACAAACAAACTTCCCATTTGGTCATTTTGTGATATTTCGCTCCTCTATGAGTCCTTGTAAGAAAGTAAGACCTTTTTATCGCTTTTTCACCCCCTCACAAAAAGCTTTAGGGGCATTAAACTGCAACATGTCAGGAAGACACGCTTGAGGTTGAATATTTCAAGAGCGCTTGGATGCCCACAGTTTACGCGAAGAGGACCTCTACACATTCACTTTGTTTAACGCAAACAGGAAAATAAATGGAACCACTCGACCCAGTACAAACACTTCATGAAACGACTTTCTCAGTAAACACAGCGTCAATTGCAGGAGTCACTATTTGCTTGGACAAACATACCACGGGTTCAGTTTGTGAGATGCCGGCGAGAAAGATGAGGTCAGCCACGAAGAGGCAGATGCAGAGGTGCAGGTGGATGGTGGTACGGGTTCCTTGGATGGAGCGGCAGAACTTGAATGTCAGGATGCACAGTCCGAGGCACAGCAGGGAGATGGTCAGCCCTATCTTGGTGACCAGCTGGAGCCCAAAGGTGTGCTGGTAGAGGAGATGCGTTAGTGGCCGAGGTTCCATTATCACCGACAACATAATGTGTGTGCGTTACTCTGACATGGAGGAGAAAAGAGAAGCGCCTGTTTTGTCCATCAGCAGTGACTACTTTATTGGCCACTATGAGGTAAACAAGCTGTAAACACAACAGTGATGTATTATAACTTGATCAAGTTGATTTAACAAGCTTGTGAGCAAACAGCGTCTGTGTACACATTGAACCGAGACGTTATCGTTCACTTGGAGTTTTGTTTCCAGCTTCCTCACAAATATAAGTCCAATGTTTACTCCTCCTCTTTGGTCTTTACGGACTCCTGAGGGAAACATCTGGATATTTAACTGCTAAATGGTCCACGAGCAAATTGTTAACTTTTCTGTTTGCTGCTCATCGGGTTATTCATCATAGCTTCCTTGCTAATATAGCTGCCTGCTTAATGAGTTTTTGGCAAAAAAAAAATATTTAAATCAATTTAAAGTTGAGTGGGATTTTTAATTTCCTAATTTTTATGTCCAGTAAGACCTTGCAGGATACTTTTTCACTATGTATTACTTTCAGTATGCAACAAATGGGTTTCATGGCGCGCGTGCTTCTTACCTTCATGTCGTAGAGTGCCACGAGCACAGCAAAGCTGCTCAGATGACTGCATGTGCACTCGGTGTGCGTTTTATTGGAGGTACGTTGATAACAACCATCTGTGGACCAGGCCCCGCTCTCGTTCCAGTACGCACAGATGTAGCTCACATCACCCGTTATGTTCTATGAACGAAAAAAAAAGGCCATCATTTCAAAAAGCAGGCTACGTGTGTTTATACTATTCCTCCTATTGCAGGAGGAGCGTGTTTGGTGTTTGGACCACAAATGATGAAGAAGCACCGAGGAGGCGGCGCGAGCGGTCGGGCTACCTGTAGATGTCGGAGGGTGATGTTGACGGAGCGGCTCAGGTTCTGAGTGGACGGGTTAGAGACCACAACAGAAACTATTGTCGAGGTGACCTGGAAGGACGGACTCACTCCATCCTTTTCGAGTCCTGTGAGCTCGCTAAAGGAGCGATTATCAGATATCTCAAGGTTCTTGTAGCTCAACAACGCAGCCAGCGCGAAACCTGTAAAACACAATAAAAAATATGATCACATTCATTAATCAACCGTGCAATTTTGGCCTCGCTACCAGAGGGAGAAGAGGTTTACCAGGGTATGATCCCGTCCCAGCTGCAGTTGTCCAGTCAGTGTCAAGTGTAGCGTTGTCATTGGTCAGATGGATCGGCCCCGTCGGGGGAGTCTGTCCCCTCTGCACTGCAATTTCTGCGTCTGAATTGAGCAGATGACTCATTTCAAATCACCCAGTTTGTATCAACTTCCCCATGCATGCATCTACTCCCGTGCTTATAACCACCCAAGAGCATTTTGGCAGTGTAATACAACATGCACATCTCAACTGAGCTCATGGAGACCCTTACCCATCTCTGTGGTCTCTGTCTTAGTGCGGCCGTCTTTGAGCTGGGGGCCGATGAGCATGATGGCGTTCTCCATCGCGCCGAGCAGTCCGCTAACATCTCTGCTGTCCAAGTGACCGGGGGACACGACGGCCTCCGTCGCGGAGAAAATCGTCTGTCCAGGTTGCAGGAGGCAAGAGGGAGAATTGAGAAGACTGTGTGGATTCATACGTGTACAAATGTGTGCGATCTGTGTCTGCTGCTCCGACCTTCAGCAGCACCTCTCCGTCACTCTTCCCTTCACCGGCGACGCTCGGGTCGGACAGAGCCAAACAGCTGCTTCTGATCATGGACAGTATGCCTGCCAGGCCTCCGAGTGACTGAGAGAAAATAAAAAGCCTGTTTAGTTTGCCTCACTAGAGCAGATGTAGACTAAACACTACAGGGCTGCAGGGAGTTTGAGGAGGTCGGTTAGAATGTTCCTAAAGAAAACCCGCAGTGCTTGATTATTGTTAATTTTATTATTATATCTGATCCTGTACTTGAAATTATGAAAATAAACCCTTTGTAAGAGTTCAATACATTATTACAGTGTGCTAATAACTTGCAGCTCACCGGCGACGAACTGCCGTTTTCGTTGAAGTTGTCGCAGTCGAGCTCTATTGAAAAGAAGAGAAAAATTAGCTTATCAACTCAGTTTGATACTTCACTCCATTATGCATCGAAAGCCGAGAGGTGCAACAGTATCTACGCATCCCCATTACCCCATGAGACTCCACAAATACACTGCAGATTATCAAATGAGTCCCCACACGAATTACCCAGAGCAGCCACATTAACATCTGCGGGGGGAAGAACACTTGGAAGCATAATGTGGACGCGTGTGACGGGGAGGAATTGTGTACGCAGTCACTCACTTGAGCATGTCGTCCTTTCGTTGCCGTAGTTGGTGAAGCCTTTTGAGCACATGCACCGGTAACTCCCGTCGCTGTTTGTGCAGTTCCCGTCTGCTCCACAGAGCTCCTCTTGCTTATCGGACGCTTCTTTGCACTCATCAATGTCTGTGTAAGACGAGCGGACAGAGAAGTAATCACTGACAAAGGCGATGAGTTCAGAGAGACCGGTCTGGAGCAAGTGTGAGTATAGGTATATGTAAGTATTGCAAACCGGTTTGCCGGGAACCAGTTTGAGGCGTTATTAGGGGCTGAAATTTGCACAAGCAGAGGCCGGAGTTGGCCTTGTGGTTTAGAGTACGTGGGGCTACGATGGCAGAACCATGATGAAACCAAAGCATCTATGGCTTCTTTAAGATCCGACATCGGTATGACACAGTTTTTAACTTGGGTAATGTTCCGTAGCTGGAGGAAAACTATGAACTCTGAACTACCATTGTGTGTTTTTTATTTTTATTTTTTTCTGTGTTGAGTATTGTGAAATGAGCCCACGTGTATTCCTGTTAAATCCCCGAGCGGTAAGTCGTGTTCTTGTCTTTACAGAGAATCTCCGGGATTTATCAAAATGTGACATTATCTCTACAATCTGACCGCTGTCTGCGTTACAATAACAAAAACACGAATAACACATTCCTTTCCCCATGCAAACAAAAAATTGAGATTATTTCTAAAGCTAGCTGCAAGAAACAAGCTGATACTGCTGAATAACTGAGGCTACTGAATCATATTTTCTTTATTCTGTTGCTCTTGTCAAGGCCTCGGCCTAAGTATACGTTTCAAGGTATTTATTTCGGACTACAGAATGGCGCTCTGCTTGGCTGCAATGGCCTGCTGTTTTTCACGTAGTGGTAAAGACAGGAAGTGGTAAAGAGGACACACATGAACCAGACACGCACCTCGCTGAATCTCCTTTCAGATGATTATCAAATACCACGACCAGCTCCCGATCCGGAACAAGATGCACGTCAGTCTTTTAGGAATGTGTACCTACAGACCAGACTTGAACTCGCATGTCTCGAAAGAGTATTCACCTGTGCAGTGTCCGGAATGATTGGTGGCTTCCGTGTACCCAAAGTGGCAGAGGCATTTGTAGCTCCCCAATGTGTTGGAACAACTTGCGTTCGGGCCGCAGATATTGCCCCCGTCTCTGCACTCGTTGATATCTGACAGGAGAGCAAGTGTAGATGGGTAAGACCGGATTGACAGGAGAGAGACACTGATCACACACACACACACACTCTTACCTTGGCACTGGCCATTTAGCGTGAAGTTAACAAGCCCACTCTTTTCTCTGTAGCCCTTCTCACATTGGCAGTTGAAGCTGCCCAACGTGTTTTTGCAGTTTGTGTTATTGCCACATGGGCGATCTCCGCACTCATCCACATCTGTATTTGGATACAAACACACACAAAAATACATTTTATCTGTAGATCTCACAGGTCAGTCCACATGTATAGGTCAATACAAAATTATTGTCAGTAGAAAAATGAACTTTAATATAATTTAAACAGGCTTTATCGTTAACCCTCTTTCTTTTAGCTCCATGTTTAAGTTATTAGATCACCATGATTAGCTTGTTTGTGGCTAATCGTAATGATCCAGGAATTGAAATATCTCCAATTGTTTTTACTGCAATCGACTTTGTATGTGAGCTGTGCTTAAATGCCTAAAATGGAAAAAAAAAAGTGAAATGTCACCAAAAAAGGGCTTCATTTCCATCTTCAGTAAGAGGTATTGAATGACGAACACCACTTATTTCCAGGAACCCTTCTTTTAACTCCACAGTCACAATAGAGACATTGATGACTGAGGATGGTTGAAGTTAGAGGTCATGGCAGATAATTACCAACACAGTCACCGCTTTCTGACTGCAACCCAAGTCCACAGGCTGCTTCACATTCTCCCAGCGCACTTAATAGGCCTGAGGGGAAAGAGAGAGAGAGGTCATTTAGTTTCAATTTACAGTTTGGGCAAAATCTTACAAAAACAAGGAAGACCTAAAAAACAGAACATTTCAACCGGAGCTTTGTGCCCTTTTTTTTAAACTTTATTCATCATATATTTTATGGTACATATCCACTCATAATTCTTTCCAGAAAATACATTTGAACAGCCCAACTAACCCTTGAGTTGGCTGTCAAAGCCTCTTCTCGGGGGATGGCGCAACATTTGATAAAAAAATTGCAACCCACAGAAGTGGTGGCCCATTTAAACGTTTGCCCATAACAACCTTGATCAAATTGCAAAGTATTACGAAACTTAAGTTCCATGTGGTTTGGCTGCTGAGCTCTAGCACAGTTTCCAGTGATGGAGCTCTTGATTTGCATGTGAAAGGGCACAAAGTGTCACTGTAGGAGTCTTTGAGTTGGTCCAGGGTGAAATATCCCTATGATTGACATTGTGTCCAAACAAGTCCCTAAAGGATGAATTGTATTCATTTGGGAAATTACGTGGCTTTTCTTAAAGCTCCAGTATAGGGGGAGAATACGGTTTTACTTATTCAGGTAAATATCTCAAACTAGTATTTGGGAGGTATCCATAAATGTGATAACTTTCACACCTGCTAACCATCTGCATGTTAGTATTGTGATTGTATTACCTTGATGCCTTTAGCGTTCAGCCAAAAACTTATGTAGCCCTGGCTTAAAAGTGCTAAATTAAACAAATATTTATTTACTTTAATGAATAAGGGGAAATGGTGAGCTGAGAGATTAAGATGAAGTAAACCACAGAGGATGTGAACAGTTGAATGAGTAAAATAAACAGTTTAAAACAGGACGGTCGGTTAAGACGAAGAGAGACATGCTGGATGAGGAAAATCAATAAACGAGCCAAGTCGAGTTAATGAAGCAATACATTATAGCAGAGGGTAAAAAACCCAACACAGACGTGTCTATTTCATCTTGACTGGTCAGCCGGACAGTCAATGTTTGTAAAAGCCTGAACGCTTTAAATAACTATCGGCTCGGCCGCAGGCTGTTTGGCAGCATCAGTCAGCTCAAGTTTCTTGATTTGAGCTTTTGCCACTGGTGGATAAGTTAAAGACTCGATGTTGGATGTGGAGCTGGATCAGACAGGCCGAGGGGGGGAGCGGGAAAGCTGCGTGGGTCGGCTGACGAAGACTGTTGTGCCGCGTCTCACGCCATTATGTGATGAGATGGGTCCTGTGTTAAATACGGGAGCTCAGTTTGCTATCTAAGTAAGTCATTGGTTAAAGCAACAGTTGGTGGTTCTCAGCCTCCTTTTAGTGCTTCAAATGTTGTTTGCAATATTCCACAGAACCAAATAAATTACCAATCAGACAGAGCAGCCTCTAACACAGCTGTCAATCACTGCCCCAGAACTACTATCAAATGAGAAAGGTGTAAAATGAGAGTTTGCTGCTGCTGGTGCACGGTTCTCATCTTAAACATATTTAGTAACTAATTGGTCTGCTAATTTTAGGGCAGATAATGTTATTCTAACATAAGTTTGGGGGATTTACTTCAACTGTAAACAAGCGTTGTACTTTTCAAAAAGCAGTCATTAAATTGGAATTGTTTTTCCATTGCATTCCCAATTTTTTTTTTCTAATTTACAGAGTTACTAGAAAAGGGGGAATAGGATCATTTTCTCATAGACCTCTATCCAATCCGATTTATTTTTGCCACCACAGTCGTAAATCCCTACTGGTCTCAATTTGTAAAGGTTGCTGCCTGATGTCCCCTTGTGAATTACTTCTGCTAAACTTCAGCCATGACGCAGTCAGATTATCTACAGACACAAATCAGTCACATTTTTCTGACTCACGGATCTCTGTCAAAATACCCCCCGCCCCCCCATGGAAAAATCATTCTTCCTGTTTTGTCGTCCCTGCTTCACAATGAGCCCTCTATTGTTCTCTGACGAAGCTGGAGCTCCTGCAGTAGCACCACTGAGGAGAACCAGGCAGAGATGCTCCACATAAGACCATTAAAAACATCCAAACATAAAGCAAGGAGACTTATAAACAGTTAAGAACATTGATACATTGAACATAAAAGAAAAACGTCATTAAAAGGATTTAAAAAAAAGACGTTAAAAGATTTGAAATAGAATAAAATTGTATGTAAATTTAAGAATGTCTCTAAGAATTCCGACTTGCAGAAACGGTCAATTGAAGGCAGAAGAGCTGCAGCTTTCTGGGAAAGTAGACCGTCCCGGACGACCAAAGGGTTTGTGGCGGTTCATAAGGCATCAGCAGATCAGAAATGTACTTTGGGCCTAAATCATTCAGTTCTTTATAAACTAGCAGCAGGATTTGGACGTCAATTCTTTGTTTGACAGGAAGCCAGTAAAGACCTGAGAACTGGATTGATGTGATCCACATTCCTGGTCCCAGTGAGGACTCGTGCTGCAGCGTTCTGGATCAGCTGTAGCTTTCCAATTTACTTTTTACAGAGACGTATAAAAACACTGTCTCAGTAGTCGAGTCCACTGAAGATAAATGCATGGACAAGTTTTTCCAAATCTGGTTGAGACATAAGTCTTCTAAACCTTGATATATTCTTTAGGTGATAGTAGGCTGAAAGTATTTTCGGTCTTTCAAGTAGGATTCAAACCAGTTAAGTGCTGTGCCAGAGAGTTCCACCCAATTGATCTATCCAGGAGTTTGTCATGGTCGACTGTGTCAAATGCTGCGCTGAGATACAGTAAGACTAAAACTGAAGTTCTGCCATTGTCTGTGTTTAAGTGGATCTCGTTGAAAACCTTGATAAGAGCAGTTTCATTACTGTGGTGCTGTCGAAAGCCTGACTGGAAGGCAGCAAAACCCTTATTTGCAGCAAAGAAGCAGTTTAGCTGTTGAAAAAACGCTTTTTCCGCTTTTTCATTTCATTGTTAATGTGCAATATAAACAATGCAATGTCTTTCTTCATTAGCTTCATATTGCATTATTTCTGTCTGTCTCTTTTTATTGAAGCCTCCTTGGGCCTGATCGAAAGGGGAAGTTATAAAGACAAAAAAAATTTTGTCACCAGGATTCTTCTCTATTTTGAGACAAAGGTTTCCTTTTACTTGCTGTTAAGTCACATGTTCATAACACATCACCTATTTCAAAATGATGGCACCAATTGCTTCAGCTCATTTCTAAAAGACAGTGGTGAAAAGATGTAAAAGACATTCTTGCCTGTGTCAATACCTTAGTGTGTCAAGTTTTTGTTTGACATCCTACTGGCGTATTACAATGTATACAATAGGGTCTAAAATCATGGAATAGCTCGTAGACTCAAAAGCATTCAAACTTTCACAGTTGAACGGCATATGGCATATCATGGTTTGGATGTAATCTGTCTGCGCGATATAGTGTGCATGTGACGACCCGCCCAACGTATAGTATAATGTATGAGATCTGTAAAAAGAGGGGATAAGAATAAAAGTTCTATGGGCGATGAGCTTCTTAAATATGTCAGACCTCTGCATGCTGCCACAACTCACCCTGGCTTTAGGAGTAGTCTAGGCTCTTGACAGGCCGAGGAGCTGACTGATTTTTGACTATGTATTAACTGACTAACTAACTAACGTGGATCAGGGATTTGTTTGCGTAAAGAGACCTCATGGTCACAAGGTCTCACTGAAACAAAAAGTAAAAGTAAATCGACTGAATTGCGTCATTTCTAAACTTCTCCGCACTTTTTATTTTTTTCTCAACCATCACTCTCCCACATAGAGACCCACCCACCCATTCCCACACACACACACACACACACACACACACGCACACAATCACGCACAATCACACTGCTCCCATTGACAGACTTACCCAGGAGAAGCAGCTCCTTCCAGTACTCCATGTTAGAGGCAAACCGATATCCCCCCACAGCTAAAGACTTTATCACAACAATGACTTTGCTCCTGTCGCGACGTTTAAGAAGGATTTGAGTATTTCACAGACGTCTCAGTAGTTCACGGTCCATTAAATCCAGTACCAGCAGCTTGCTCCTTCAGATTCAGACTGAGCACGCCTCGCTCTCTGCCTGATTCCCCAACCCTCTCTCTCTCTCTCTCTCTCCCTCCCTCTCTCCCTCCCTCTCTCCCTCCCTCTCTCGTATCTGTGTGGCCTTGTGTCTTTCGCGTCACTCTTTCTTGCTCTTTTCTTTCACTCTTTCCATGTGAACTGGCCCCCTATAACTTTGCTCGCCCCCCCGCTCACCCCCACTCCTCCCTTCTGTCTGCGCTGTCTTTCACATTTCCCCTTTCGCTTCAGCAGGCTCTATTTCAGGAGCTATTCACAGCCCTCTCATGAGAGGCCGAGAGAGGGAGAGGAGGGGGGAGACGGGGCCTAAGAGAGGCCTATGACTAACACTCAATCCAAGCAGCTGCTGTACTTGAGTTTTTCCCAGTAAGTAATCGTATATCTCCGTCCATTCTCCCCAACTCTAAATCCCCTCCCCCCCTTCCCAAAATGTTCCGCCCTTCACCCACTTCCAGTGACAAACCTTCTGTGTTTTCTCAATCCCCCCCCCCCCCCCCCCCCAACCCACAGACAGCAAGAAACTGACTGGAGACGGATGCAGATGAGGGAACCAGAATTCCTCACCAGACCCCAATAATGTGGTTCAGAGGAAACCGGGTTGTACAAAATTCCGTTGAAGCAGCTTCAACATTCCAACATTCACCGCTAGACTCGACCTCGCTCTCCGTCGCTCCATCGGACCAGCACCAGAGCAAATGAAGTTCTAAACAATGAGTCAAAGACAGTCTTCCACACAGTTTGGAAATAACACACCATGTGTGCTTATGAACTGTAACCCTGTAACTGTAACAGAGATAGTCGATGGCAGTGAGCTAGTTAGTTAGCAGATAAAAGTCTGATCGACTTTAATGATTTAGATTTGAGCGCTGAACTCGCATGTCAATGCATCAAAAATCCGCACACTAGAAACAGCCTTATAATCTGAACTCAAAGGTGATTTAAAGAACCAGACTAGACTCTACAAGTGTGAGATGAAGTCATGGTAACCTTACATCACACAACAATAATGTCTACAACATGACAAAGCCACGGCCTTGTGGTGCACATCACAGATGTGCAACAGACTACAGCTGCTGCACGCATTGGGGAAACTCTCCATAACGAGCCGCTTGTGTGTTTCTCAGCTCGTTTCCCGAGAGGAGAGATGGTCCTAGGACGTCTTTTCCTCCCTTCAGTCCCTCATTGGTTTTCGTAAGCATCTTCTTGACTCTCTGTCATCGTTTTTCATGATATTTACGCAGACAGATGAGCAGACACATCGAGACGGACAAATCTCCCGCACAAGTGGGCAGGAAGAAGATGAGAGAAGTTCATGTCCCCTCAGCATCTCTAGTAAACAAAATAAGAAATGAAAAGCAGATGCGTTTAGCTAACCCAGCGTTGGTGTGTCTATGTGTGTGTTTATGTGTGTGTGTGTGTGTGTGTGTGTGTGTGTGTGTGTGTGTGTGTGTGTGTGTGTGTGTGTGTGTGTGTGTGTGGAGGTTTGGAGGTGGATTGTATCAATCTGTCCTTGTTTATATCTGTTTGTTCCTGTTTTTTAAGTTACTTCAAGTTTACCATTGTCTGTACAATTACATACTTCTAAACGGAATGCACTAATCTGAGCGCGGACGTGTGTGTGTGTGTGTGTGTGTGTGTGTGTGTGTGTGTGTGTGTGTGTGTGTGCTCAGCCATTGAGTCCCACATGCACAAAGCAGACACCAGCCTACTGTGACCATTCGTCATCCAAAAGGATGAACAGTCTGGGAAAATTGTAATCTGTCAGAGGAAGAATGACAAGTAGCAGTGATCGTTTATTAGTGATGACAAAATGAGCCTTGGGGGGTTAAGAGAGCTACATGAGTATGTATGCAAGTACACAAAGTGGAACAGACCACCTGAAACACGGAGTACTTGGCCTTTGAGAAAGAAAGACGCTTTAAATGTTTAATAAACCACATTAAGTCATAACTTTGTTTGTTTCCCGTCGGCAGAGCCAGCAGAAACTCAGAACCGACCGCGAGGGGATATTTGCTGAATTTGACAATACTTCTTTTGGATAAAAGTCATAGACTTCCACTTTGATTATCTCTTATACGTGTCATTAGGATTAAATTACACAAAATTAAAATGAGGTGGAAAACTGAGCCTTTGGAAATGATGAAGTCTCGCGCTTCCACAGCAGCAGAGGGGTTTGTTTATTCTCGGCCTAAAAGGCTTTCGGGGTCTCGGTTCCTCACTAAACCCACACAAGAAAAAACACAACTCAGTCGGAAGCAGAGAAACGGAGTAAAAATAAACGTAAGCACATCTGTTGCTGAGCTAAATTTGTGTAATCCTCTTCAAAAACTACTGATCGACTTCTATCTAGAAGCTTTGTAAGAGCCTGCAAAGCGGAGGAAAGGTGAAACAGATTTAGATGATAAACAGTTTTTGATGATTTTGATAATTAAAAGATTCCTCTTTGTCAACTTGAAAGAGAAGAGTATTTTAAATCAAACATGTTCCAAGTCGCCGTCGCAAGCCAGACATGGATCGTGGGAAAGAATGGATCCTCAAGGGGTTGCCAATAAATGAAACGTAAATCAGCCGACAGTCTCCCAGTGCAATAAATGTAATGGTAGCAGTCAAAATGTTGGACCCACATTGTCATTGAATTATAAAAAGTGTCCAAACCTTTGACTGATACTGATTTAGTATTACTTTGAAGTCATTGTCATAGCATTAAAGTTCATGTCGCATTAAGTGGTATGGTGGAAAGTTTTAGTGTAATGTTACAAATGTGGACTAAAACTTAATGACACTGACAGAATACTAAATGTCAGTGCACACACACATGCACAGACGAGAGTAGATCATAATTACACAGTTTCAGTTGCTTCTTACAGGGACTCAGAAGGAAAGAGAAGGAGAAGGAAACTTCTCACCCAGAAACACTAGTGACGTACTGTAAGGAGGCCAGTTATACAAACACAAGCGCACATTCACTCACACAAGTACATGCAATTGTTAATATTCTTAACGGTGACAGGCCTTCCATCCGTTAGGGATTCAAAAGTCAAAAAGGCAGCTGCGGCTGTGCGTAAAGGGGAACATGGAACAAGATGTGGTCTGAGTTGAAAGGAAGAGAAGCAAGCTGTGGTCACAGAACGCACCAATAATGATTGTTATTATTGTTCCTCAGCAACAAGCAGCAGTGCCCCTAACGCTGTTTTCTGAGGCTGAACACCACTGGATGCCACTGACAACAAGGTTGTTATCATGTGTTTTCCTCACCTACAGCCGTTAAACAAATATCATTCAAATTATTTGCAAAACACATCAGACTGAGCCGGACTTTTATTGGTGTTTGTTGAAGAGTCATTGAAAGGTTTTCACATCATTTGTCTAGTAGTGTCGTTGTGATACAGTACATGGAACCACATAACAGATCATTTACAGATCTCTGTTAAATTACATGTAGATGTAAAAACTGCTCTGTTTGTTATTATTTGCTAATGAAGCACGACTCAGTCCAGTAGCTCTTGTCAAAAATGTGCACCTTTGCAGCCAATAACAAACAGAACAGAGGCTGCGAAGTGTAGATGCTTCCGTTCACACTGAAAGTATGGTACGTTGCTTCTCACCTAGAAACACTAGCAACTACTGTTTTGTTTGAAAATGCAAGATATGAAACTGGTGATAGAGGGGAGGTAAAAGAAGGTCACAAGTCTCGTACCAGATGTTAAACCCAACAACTAAAAGGTTTTGCTTTATATAATTGAGCGATGTCCATCGTGGTGACTGTGTAACTTAACCCGCAAGGTTCATGAAACAACTCAAAATATAGAATTCAGCATTTATACTAGAAAAGCTGTCAAATATGACGAATATGAGTAGGGTTTTTCAACTATTAGATACTAAAGGTGCACTTCTGACTGTTCTGAAAACCTCCCAAATAAAAGACATGACACAAATAAACTGGATTGTAAAAGTGGGTTTTTCCCCAAATAACATATTTGTCTGTTGTAATGAGCAGAATAAATACCCTGCTTACCCTAATCTGCTTTAATGTGACTCCTTCAACATTGTCTGATTGCTGTCATATATAGGGGCTCTGCAGCACGCTGACCTGCTTTTTGCCTGAAAACATCGCTGGCTGATCAATATGAAACCATTTGTTTGGCTCAGCGTCATGGGCACGGTGTTGCCGCATCCTGTTGCACTACTTGGAAGCGTGACCTTTTCACAATGTGAGATCCGGTTGAAGGCGTTGTGCGTGTTCATGCACTCGGTTAGTCCACTTGGCTCGGTGGGCCGACGCGAAACAGGAACTGTGCTTCCTATCAACCCATCAGCCGGCCTTCCTACGTCCTACCGTGACAAACCACTGCCCCGCCACGGTTATGCAACAGGTGGAAACCTTGGCGACAGACTTGTGCTTTCCTCTTCTGTGATGTAAACCAATGCAATGCTTGTGCTTGCAGGTGTGCGCGCACATCCTTTTTGAGGGATGTCATCTGGACTCCAATGAACTTCACTGTTTATATCAGACTCCATTAGAGTCCATGTATCCATGTCTCATGATTATGTATACAAACGCATACACAGAGAGAGAGGGATCAGATTTAATTAACCTGTGTTAATAGTGTTTCCTCTCTGTCGCGGATGCATTTTTTCCATTCTTTTCCGGCCCAACAGCTCCTCATCCATCTGAAATGAAATGAATTCACGCAGATTTCCGTCCTTTAACATCCACGACTTTCATTTTGTCTCCTTCTTCCGTCTCTCCTTGAGCCTGTCTGTGAAGTGAGGGGGTGGACTGAGGTGACGGAGGGCAGATGTTTCCTCCCCGGCTTTGACGACGCTCGTGAAGGTGGAGAGGAGGAAGAGTGTAAAAGGGTAAGGCCTGTTTCTCCGTGGAGGTTGGGCGTTCCGTGAGGGAGGCCTGCAGATACAGGCTGCGTCCTGGCAGCAGCTTCGGAAATGGCCAACGACTTTCCAACCCTCCGCTGCGGCCACAGATCCTAAATGTCAAGCAAACACCCGATTGAGGCGACGCTGCTTTAAAATGTCTCTGTCATCAACGCGCCGCGTCAGCTGGGTCGTCTGATCAAACAGAACGTTGCCTGTTCGAGAGGAGTTTACAGTCCATAATTACTCAGAGAGCCGCAAGGATCAGCCAAGTGTTTTTGCTTCTTTTTCTTTTTTTTATTTGGGGATTTGGAAAACAATTGCTTGACTGTGTGCTGCATCTGTCCCGCCAGTTGTTACGGGTGTGAAGGCTGAAATCGCTCTTGGCCTTAAGGCAACGGGTGTGTGCGTTAACATTGCCACCATGTGGTTAAAGAAGTTACTTTATGAAGCACTGCTCAGAGCAGACGCCAGGCAGTCTGTGGCGCAGGGGTTAGAGAAGGTGTGCTGGGAAGCACAAGGTTGTGGGTTCGATTCCAGACTGCCCCATGTTCCATGTTGAAGTGTCCCTGAGCAAGACACCTAACCCCTAATTGCTCCCCGGGCAAAAATGTGAAAAAGCCATGGGTTTAAAGTGTAATGTAAGTCGCTTTGGATAAAAGCGTCTGCTAAATGACCTGTAATGTAATGTAATAATAGAAGTTAGAAAGAGCGACGCTGCTCTCTTCTTGAATGTCTCAAAATGATTTACCAGTGTTACACTGGTGGAACAGGTTTTAAGCCCTATTTGTTAGAAGATAGTTTCTGATAGAGTGAACTATGTAGTACTTCACTGGGAAGTTAGACTGCCTTTGAAGACACTATTTTTGAGTTTTTGGTCATGCTCTTTAATGTTCTGCAATAAATAAATCCTTCATGTGGCTCCAGTGGGAGCTGTGGGAGCTGTGGGAGCTGTGGGATGACAGCGTCGGTTGAGGCTGAAGACTAAAGTCTGATAATGAAACATAAAAAGAACCCTGTGTTCTTAAAATAACACACATTATATGAATATTTTTCAAAAATCAGGCTGAAAGCAAATTACAAGAGAGAGATTTATGTTTTACACCAAGATCCACACTATAGTCTCATCAGCAAACACAAACACTACATTTGATAAGCAGGTGCACATTTCTACTTGCAAGCAAGCAAAGTTTTGGGCCAAGTGTGCAATTAAGCTCACAGAAGGAGATTCGATCCCTATTATCTTTTAGCATGACTGAGCAACCCAACTCACCTTTTCAGACAATAATTTCATAAAACAACATTTGTCATTGAAATGAATGTAACGTCTTTTATTCGGTCTTTTTCGATTTGGATTCAATGGCATAATGAGGGCTCTTACATTCGATCAGACCACTTCTTTGTGTTTGGAAGTGCAACAGTGTCGACTCAGCAGATCGCATGAAAGGAGGCAGACGAGAGGAATTCCTCAAGGACAAACTCCCACACACAGGCTGAGTTCCAGAGAAAAAGCCGTCCCAACGGAGATATGAGGCTGAAGCAACAATGGCAACTATCAGTTGTCTATAAAAGTACAAACTTAACCCCACGGTAACAGCAACTACAGCGTTGGTATCATTCGCTTTCATGGCTCAAAATATATGGATCTATTAAATATACTGATCTGTGTTTTTCACAGTATCAGCTGTTAAAACGCATTGATGGCAACAACACCACCTTTTGGCGTGGATGGTTTGTCAATCAGACCACATTGGATCAAGCTGTAGAAAAAAAGGGGAAAAGACACACAATTAGGAAAGTAAAATAAAGAAAATAAAGAAATCTGTTGTTTTGATGGACGGGGATTTGCCTCGACCCAAACACCAGCGCACCTTTTACGATGACCTTGACCAGAGCCTCACTGGAGCCGACGTGGTTGGTGGCCACGCATTTGTACGTCCCGCTGTCCCCCAGTTTGACGTGGGCGACGGACAGCGTTCCGTCCTTCGTGGCGTGGGCCCCCGGAGGCAGACTGGCTCTGCCCTCACGGCTCCACTCGAACCCAATGGGATGAGAGCCGTGGGCGAGGCACTGGAGGCGCAGCGCGTCCCCGGGCCGGAGCCTCGCCTGGTCCGGCAGGCAGGTGGCGTACGGGGGACCTGCGCGGGGGAGACGGACACGACTCGCGTCACGTGACCCGCAGTGACGTACAGTGTGTGTGTGTGTGTGTGTGTGTGTCGTCCACTCACTCTCCACCTCCATCTGCGTGTACGCTTCACTGTAGCCGTGGGTGTTGGTTGCATTGCAGATGTATTGTCCTGAATCCTGGCGTCCCACGCTGGGCAGTGTCAATACTCCACCAACCATTGAGTGTTTCCACGGCAACGGCGCTCGCAGCTTGGACCAGGTGACGACCGGAGGAGGGGAGCCTTGAGTGGAGGGACAGAAAGGGAGAAACAAAGTGAAACGTGAGAATGTGAGAGCAGCCCTGAGAGAAACTGTAACGCACACAGACATCCTACCGGTGGCCTCGCACTCCATTGTGATTGTTTGTCCCTCCACCACTGTCATTTCTGTTGTGCCCACTGTGGCCACTGGTGCCCCCGGCTGCCCCACAACAATGACCTGAACTTTGACCTCTGTCACCCCCTCATTGTTTTCAGCCTGGCAAATATAAATCCCCGAGTCGTCTTGATGTATTGCAGCCCACTGGGAAAAAAGAGAGAGTTGGCAATTATGTTCTACTTGTAATCTGAAGTCGTGGGGAAAATAAATGTGCGCACGTGTTGATATTTGACCTGTATGGTGTTGACATCATTGGTCTCCTTGGTAACCAGCTGCAGGGTGGAGCCTTGGCGTTTCCAGGTCAGCGTGGGCCGTGGCCTTCCTTTGGCCCGGCACTCCACTGAGACAGGGTCTCCCATCCTGACTCGCAGGGGCCCTGCAGGTGTCAGGTGCACTTTAGGGGCATCTGACCAAGGACACACAGACATGAGGGACACATTACACCGGCAATATCCCATTTCTGGGTGTGGCAAACTTGTTAGCAAACAGTTGATGAATGAATGATAGCCCCCCGCTCTTGTTTCCTTATGCATGCTTGCTGTGGCTCCATCGTTTCTGGGGTTATTCTTTTCGTTTAGATTATCCACCAGAAAAACATGCATGCAGTGGGGTTTATTTTGTGCCTCCTGGGTATATTTGAGTACTAGTGTGGGACCCTTTATTTGTCCTTTCATGCTGTTTGGGCTAAGTGGGGTTTTATTGTGTCTTTATCCTTCTTTGTTGGGGACTTCATGTCCTCGCAGTGTTGGGTATCATCAGTCAATCTTACTCAATTAGTACCGCATATAGGTCTAATCCTTTATTAATCAATACAAGTAGTTCAATGGCAGACAACAAATGGCAGAGGGATCAGCTTTTGTTTACTTATCTCTGCTGACGTTAGCAGTGGTACTCACATGTAAGACATTCACTGCACCGCCCGTGACAACGGCGTGGGGAGGCTGTGCCATCGGCTGTCCTATAGGCCTTTCTCAGGCACCATTGACTGAGCTTGAAGTTTTCCAGTTTCAAGTGCTGCCTTTTGACCTGTCAATGTCAGCAAGGACGTTTACTCAAGTGGTCTCTGCTGCCTTAGGGGCTCTTTCAGTTACAGGGTTTCGAAATCCTGCCATACAGTATCTGAATGGTCGTCCCTTTGACTAGATCTATAAATCCAGGACAATGAGACAGTGCTCATGTTCAGTCACTGAGGGTTGTGGTGAAACTTTCTGTTCTTTCTGTTCTTCTTCACTTTGATTCACTAAATGCACATCTCGGCCCCAACCGGGCAGGCAGTCTAGGGAAAGCACTATATCCTTTGCTATTAGGGAAGCTTGTGACTGCTCCCATGGTTCATAAACAGCTGGGACCGCTGGCTGCAGCGTCAGTGGGGATTCCATTTAGGCCTGCCGAGGGCGCGTCCCACACGGCGATAGTTGTACTCCTTTCATCTCCAGCCAGAAAAGCACAGGCGGATGAGGCTGTTTTTGACATTCCTGCATGTCGGCCCTGCTCCCCCGGAGGATTTCCCTTCTCGCGAGAGCCCGACTGGGGGACCGTTCTCGCTGCAGTTCAATAACCACAAGAGATGCATGGCTGACAAGCTTTTAGAGGGGTCACGAGCGTGTGCTGGTGAGAACACGCGGTACCTCCGCAGTGTATGTAGATCACCACGGTGGAACACGGTCACTTTCTGGTCTCCAGGTTACAAGGGAACTAATGGGCCCACCCAAAACGGCAGTCCATAACAGATTAAACAGGGGGGGGGGGGGGGGGGCATTCTGTCTGACGGCACCCAGACGCAGTGACTCTCTCATCGGTCGTGGGGAAAATTTGATGCTCTGCAACAAAAGTGACCAATAAGCCTGATGTGCACTTATCCCCTACGCCCTCTCCAGGCCAATCGCAGTTAATGCCCGAGCCAGTTTGATGGGTGGACCACGAAAACACACACTACAGGCGTTATGATCGGTGCCGGACCTCAGCAGCAAAGGTACGGGCCGAACCAAACACCGAACAGAAGCTCACATTTGACGTTCAGCACAGCCGTGGCGGCGCCGCGGCCTGCAGAGTTGACCGCCGTGCAGCGGTACTGCCCGTGGTTTTCGGGGCCGGCGGTAGCGACCGTCAGCACGGAGCCGTCAGGACCGGTCTTGACATTGTCTAGAAGGAGGAAAAAGAATGCAGGGAGATATGACACGTGTCCATATTGAATGAACAAGGGTTACATGCTGTCACTCCTGACCTGGTAATGCTTGGTTATTGTTATTGGCTTTCTTCCACATCAGTTGGATGGGCTGTGCGCCTCCCTGCACCTGGCATCTGAAGCTGGCGGATTCCCCTTGGTGCACAGTAGCAGCCCGGGGCTCCACGGAGACCTCGGGAGCCTGACCAGCAGCTGACAGAAAGAGATAACTGGTGACACAAACACACACACACACGCACACACACAGACACACAGACACACTCGATGCAACTGTGTGAACCTTTAGACGGGTCTGGGTAAAATACAGTGCAAACACACACCACCTCAAAGCAAACACGCCGAGCAAATACGCAGATTGAAGAGAAGTGATACTAATGACTCAGCAAAATAAAAAGGAAAAGGAGATTAATTAAAACTCTCTCAAAGAAATTGTGTCAGACAGGAACATCCATTTATTTTGGCTTCGCTAATAAGGTTTGTAATACTACATCGTGTGGTTAATCTGCCCAAATTTGCCAATCATGCAGTTGTTTTTACATCGACTAAGATGTTGAGATTTTTACTTTTTGATACTCACACTACGGAATAAATCTTCACATTACTTTTAATGATCAACAGAACTTTTCAGCAGCATCAACAGGGACTATTTCTTTAATTTAAAGTTTGATGGAGCAATTAGTGGGTTAACCAGAGTAACTGGGACACAGTTTATACAAATATTATTTTATGTCGCTATTTGAGCAGTAGTTTGCGTGACCCTTTGAAAGTACTACAAAAATATCTCCACAGGCTTCAAGTTAATTAGCATAAAAGCTTCAAAGCAAACGTGATTTATTACCTGAACATAACAGAGAAAACAGGAGCAGAACCCCAGGGGAGAAATCCATGATGAACGGAGAACAGTCCCACTTTGTCCCCAGAGGAAAAAATCTCTCTTTCACTGTTTCTCCGTCTCTTTTTCAAACGTCACTTTCAACCTTTAACCCCTGACTTACCATTTACCCCTTCTGCTATTAAGCCGCTGTCAAGTCGTCCAAGTCACGTATAAAGTGCCTAAATCGCCTTTTGCGATTAGTTGTTTGATTTAAAAATAGCCCAAAAGTGTTCCTGCAGGATATCCAGAGACATTTCAGTAGCAATGCTGTTAACCAACCAGTGCTTTCAAATTACTCATGTTAAAGTAGTGCGTTTACAAAGGTTGTAGGTTGTAGTGTGATGATGAAAACTACAAAAGCTCGACACTAATTGTTAAGTGCGTCAAACAACAAAACATGGAGACATTTGAGTTTTATTCTGCTTTACAAGAAAAGGATTTCTCTCCAGTCCGACTGTATCTGCAATGTAGTGACCTGTGAGTCAACAGAGATAAGTGGCTGATGAAATTAGATTCAAAGTACAACTATCCTGTTTTTTTTCAGTGAATTTGGCTTGTTTGTAAGTAACGTCAAGTAAAGTAAGAGAATAAGCCGATAAAATGAAAGAAATATTTAGGGAACTAAAGTAACAAAGCTAAAAACCCATTAGGATAAGACTGGAGAGAGTCTGATCAGTGCAATTTACTGTCAGTTTGCTTCTCTGTTCTCATAAAATCACTGATTGTCCCCATTAACCAAGAGAACAAGATGGAATAAAAAATACATGTATGTAATTACATCGCTTGAAGTGTAGACTGAACTAGTTAAATAATATGCAACAAAGACACATGATAAAGTAATTATTATGATATTGTCCTATATGATTTGTTGACTGAAGATTAACTATGAAGAAATAGTCATGAATTGGTCAATTAGGCCAGGATAACCAAACCGTTTCTTCAGAACATGCAGGAGTGAATGCAGTGGGGCTGTTGAACACTAGAGGGCACAGATAAATAAATCACACGTGGTCCATTGGCCGTGTGATCTGAAACTCAACGTAAAGTGTGCACGTGAGCAAAAGCACCTCTTTGGTCCGGTGTCTTCAAAAGCTGTTAAGAAACATAATTACCTGTAAAGCAGTCCTGTATCTACATTCGTTTGAATGGCAACAAACTCAAACCAGTTCTTGTCTGAAGCAAAGAAAAATTTAATAAGTGACAATGTTTTTATTCATTTTTGGTCATTACTGCCATTTACGATGTTTTTGTTGTACTCTATCAATGCATTTTCTTGGTGACATTTTTCTTAAAAAACTTCAAAGAAAAAAATACATAATAAAATTTTAGTTTAACATCTAAAAATGACTTCATGCTTACTTTTTGTATTTTTTTTCTTATTTTAATTCTTTGAAATAAAATGATGAATCTGGTTCAAGGCAACACACAAGCCCTTAAACCCTCAAACAGTTTATGATTCACTGAAGGTGAAGTGGTACATTAAAAAAAGTTCTTTTCATCATTTATTTATCTTTTTAAAAAATAACAGAAGAAAAATGGTGTGAGTAATAGTAAAACAAAAAAAAGAAAGAAACATGTATTGACACATTCGTAAAGTGGAGGGATTAAAAAAGAAATAAAAAAAAACAACTTTATGAGATGTTAGAAAACAATCAGCATCACAAAGCAAAACGGAACAGTTGCAGAGTTTTGGTAACGCTCTGTTCATGGCTCGGCTGGACGTCAACCTAGTCTGCGTGGGATTAGTTTTAGGAGCGGGGTGGGGGGGCGGGGGTGGGAGGGAGGGGTGGAGCATCAGCTGGAGGTGACACAGTGCTCCCAGGTGCTCTGGGTGGGGAGAGATGGTGCCAGCCGTCATCACCCTACCGGCCGAGAAACAAGACGTTCAGGAGTCGGATGTCAGCGAAGAAATATACCCTAAGATCCACGGACAGCGTTAATACAGCAACTGGCGAATCGGTATAAAGTCACTTTGCTGTGGCCCTGCATCATTTGTTCAGTTTGGATAACATGGTCCTATGTCAGGGGGCTACATCGATAGGGTCTACAAAATGTCACACGGGGAAACGCTGTTGCCATAACTACTAAATTGGTGAGCGTGTAACTATAGCAACAGTTTGTAACCAGAGCTGCTTACATGGACGCAGAGAGGAGGGAAGAGTTCCTCCAGGTGAGTCCTCACAACCTCCCGTCAGGAGTGTAACACTGGGCCGGGTATCCTCCTGTTGGGCACACAGTTAGCACACGTGTAAGCTGGGTGCTCACATCATGGCCACGCACACCGGATTTAAGACCACTTTACACAGTGACCCTACAGAGAATGACCATATTTCACCGTTTTACATTATGTGTAATTAGGCCGCCGGTGGTGTGTTTGTTGTGAGCACCTGAGTTTGGCGTGGCCGGGGAGTTGGCTTGGCTCGCCTGTGAAGATACACTGGCAGCGTCCACGGCTGTCTTCACAGCGTAGCGGTTAGCTTCCTCCTGCAATTTTGCCACGTTTCTCTTATACCGAATCCGCTTGTTTCCAAACCAGTTCGCCACCTGAGAGTCACAGAGGTAAAAACAGGAATGAAGCCAGATCCATCACAGCAGACTCATTACAGCACACAGTGTGTGTTCTTTGTCTACTCGGTGGCCTGACCTGAGACACGGTGATGGAGCACTTCCGGGCCAGGTCCTCCTTGGCCTCCTCACTGGGGTAAGGGTTTGCCAGATGAGAGTAAAAATATGTATTCAAAATCTCCGCCGCCTGCTTGCTGAAGTTTCTCCGCTTGCGCCTGGCGGAAAAAGGGAAATTGCGATAATTAACAGTCCTCTGAAGACCTCTTCACGATGTCCTAAGCACTCTGTCCCACACTGGAAGACTAAAGTTAAGAGGAGGCAGAAGACAAAAACAAAACAAAAAAACAAGCGTGGAACCCACCTGGCATCCAGGAACCTGGAGCGCAGGATCATGACGGCTTCACATGTGCTCTGCTTCAACTGCATCTGGATGGTGCTGAACTTGCGGTGGATGATTCCGACCATTCGCTCGATCTCTTTGGGTGAGATGGGCCGCGTACGGGACTGCTCCCTCAGCAGGTTCATCACGTGGTCGGTGAACTCATTGCACGCCTGTAACGGGCCGGGAGGGAGGAAAAACGTCTATTCCTCAGTTGCGAGTGGCTTGGTCATGTGACACCACGTGTCAGGATGAACAGAATCCCACCTGTTGGTATTTCTCCAGCTCGGCGTGGTACATCCGTCGGATCTGAGCCAGCTTCTCTTTGTACTCGCTGTGCTCGACGTTCCCCTCGCCGGGCGACCCTCCGGCTGCCGCGGCGACCACAGCCGCCGCCGCGGAGGCCCCGCCCCTCTCCGGACCGGCGACCCCCTCCGCTAACAACATGTTGTCCAGTCGCATGATCTGAGGGTCGGGCCCGTCTTCTTCCTGGATACCTCGGATGCTGAGGGCTGTGGAGGAGAATGGAGACACACAAACACTGCTGTTTGTGAAGCCTGCTCGTGTCACGCTGAAACGTTCACGGCCTCGGGCTGCAGGAGTGGAAACACCGGATGCACATTCAACAGAACAACTGGCGTGACAGCGCCCGACTTTGGATAGGCACCCACACGGCGTTTAGTCAAGTCACATTTCAATATTACATAAGCAGCAGCTTCTTTCACTTTTTATTTAACGGTTAGTAACATGAAGGTTTGAAGGCCAGATATTGTCATGCCGTGACCCCAACCGTGACAAAGAGAGGACAAATTGATTGTTTCTAGTTTGCGTGCTCATTGAAAATACTGAAACACGTAGTTTGTGTCTGCGAGCACGGTTAGGGTTCCCCCAGCAGCCAGCAGAGAGCACTATCTCACAAGTCCCCAAAAGAACACATTTCCACACAATATATTCAATACTCATTATTTTTCCTCATTTGTCCCCAGTTGTCCCGTCAGCAGAATGTCAAAAACAAAAAGTTGCAAACTCCTTTTTGTCATAAATATCAATAATTATCTAAAGAACTACCGTCCTCAGCCAGATAATGGCCTTTAGGTGGAAACAAAAGTGAAACCAAATATACAGCACGACCGGCACGGCTGAACTTCAGAAAGCCATTATTTAATAACCCGGAGCTGAGCATAAAATACTGGAGGACAAAGGAAACGTCAGCCGTGGCTTTGTTAGTTCGAGGCGCTGAGGAGATCGAGTGTCTGCGGCGGGTGGAGAGAAAAGGAAGACGCAGAACACAGCCAGGAGCGAGGTTCACATCAAGAGACACCGACTGTTGCTATGGCAGTGATGCCAGCTTTCCTTGGCATCCTCGTGCCCAAAGAAAAACCCACACACATAAGCAAGCACACACACACACACACACACACACACAGCTGTTAATTAACGGCAGCTCTTAAGGAGCGACTAAAGACCCAGTGAAAAATTAAGGCTCATTTGAGAGGTCGTTAATTTGCACAGCTATGCAAATTAGGTGGCAATTACAAGGTAGTTCCAAAGATCACATTTATAATCCCGCAACGAGGCCAATGACAGCCCCCGCATCTGGCAAACAGCATCCAGACACACACACACACACACACACACACACACACACACACATCTGAAGACATTAACAATTACTTCAGACACAATTTCCCATGTTACAGTTCAGTAATATAGCAAATATGGCAAATGCGTTTTTAATCTCACAACTAAATACGAGTATTTTGCACCTGATGTGCTAATGTGCCAGATTAACCAGATTACAATACGCATGGAGCACCAGGCCGTGTCCCTGAGCAGGACACCCGGCCCCTAACTGCTCCCCTGGCCAAATGTAAAGAAACCACGGGTTAAAAATGCAATGTGAGTCGCTTCAGATAAAAGCGTCAGCTAAATGACCTGTAATGTAATGTAATGTGATACAAGCCCTCTGCAGGTCAGGCAGGCGCACCTGTGTGAGCGTCTTCAGTGGATTCAGGACAGATCCAACCTGCCCGACCCTCAACTACTTTGAATACATTCGATTGTGTGAAAAGAGTAATTTCCTTTTTTTTTTATAAGTGAGAAATCTACATTTAGACGTTTCTAATAGACGTGCTTACTTGTCTTGGCGTGGTAGTTAAAGCAGTTCGGGAGGAGGCGAGAGGAGAACAAAGAGGAGTAGGCTGAAGTGGGTTCGGGTCCCATTAATGTTAATTACATAATAATTAGTTAGTTTAGGCCGGCCGGCCTTCCAGATTGTCCGTTGACTCAGTGCAGCGACACGCAGACGGGATAAAGAGATGAGCCCACGACGCTTGGTGGAACCGAGCGAGTAAATCCAGCTTTGTGAGCCCGTGGGTGGCAAACTGTCCCCCACTGAGAATCTGTTTGTGGTGACGGCTGACAGGACTCTCGGGGTCTGGAGATTATCAACTGTCTGCCATACCATGAAACGCAACCATTACTGCCTCTCCCTACAACCCATCCATCACTCGGTCCCTCCCCGCGCTCCTGTCATTTGTCCGCTTTTCTTATTTTGCCTTTCGTCTTATTTGGAGCGCTGCAATCAGAAAAACGGCGGTTGTGCTGGGAGCAGAGGGGGGAGGGGGGGGGGGGTGAA